GGTGTTGAAAACCATCTCTGCCAAATTGCCAAGTTTTTTGTCATTCAATTTGACCCTTTTCATGGAGGCGTGGAACTCCTGCCTGCCTGCTTGGGCGTGGAGGCCCAGACTGGTCCCTGGGGACAGTTGTTGGGGTCCCGGCCCACTTCTAGGATGTATTTTTCTCTAGAGACACTGCTGCTCACACACACCAGGAGGTGTGTGTCACCTCCTCTGTGCTGCCTTTGAGCTGCTGTGTTGAGGGTGCTGAGGCAGAGCACCCGAGGGCCTGCTCACTGCGGTCTTGCACACATCCACTCTTAGGGTCCAAAGGCTAAGGGCTCCCTCTGGTACCAAATCCCATGCATGGGAATGGGGCGGGGGGATCCTCTCACCTGCTCATCACGGTCCTCTGCCTGCCCCCTACACTGCCCCCGCATGAATTGGGTCAATATGGGTGTAGCTGTGGTGTCTGGTTTCGCTTTGGCCACAATAATTTCAACCAGGCTGATGGATTATTTTTCTTCCTCTGAGACTTTTGCTCCGTTGGCTGGGGACCAGACCCCCTTTTGAGCCAGCGAGTAAGCACCGAGTCCCTGAGTCTTTGGTGTGGGAGCCCCACTGCCGACGTGCTGACTTGCCCTATTTCTGTCCAGGCTTTACGTAAGATGCCTCTGCAGACCCCTCCGCTCATCGCCTGTTTTCAATTCCAAATGCCATTTCCCCCCCAGTCCCAGCTAAGTGGAAAGGAGCAGGGTGGCTGCTGTGGCTGCTGGCAGTTCTGGGAGAAGACCCCCACTTCTGCCACCCCCCACCCTGCTCTGCACTGGGAAGTCAAGAAAATCGCGGAGGAATTCTGGACCCTGGAACAGGGACATTTGTTTGTTTAGATCTTTTTTCCCTCGGGGGTCCATGATGTGTGATACCTAAAGCCCCACCTCGCCCTCTGCTCATCACCGTCCTTCGTCTTCCTAAGAACCAAACCAAATCCATCCCGTCCCCTGGCGCGTCTCACGCTCCTCACAAGCTCTTCCTGTTGAGCCACTTTGTCTTCGATCATCTAATTCCATGACTCTCAACCAAGGGCCCTCACTTAAAAAATATAGAAAAGAGCTCTTCAGTTTCTCATTTCACATTGCTTAAATCATACACTATGTTGTAAATCAAAGTTACGAAGATAAAAAAGAATACAATTAACATAAATTGATAAATGTTCCTGGGGAAAAAACGTAAATACAGAATTCCTATCACAACTCAAAGACAGCTCATTGGTGGTGCAGCTTGTGCTTGTTTTCAAGTGACACTCCCTCCAATCAAAATATTTGCTCTGTCGCCTGCTTGGAGAATGCACAGGCCACCACCCCAGGTGCAGGGGAGGGGACTTCCCCATGCAGCGTGGCTGCTGCTGTTCAGGTGTCAGCCCCCAAGCTAACTCAAGCCACTCCATCTGCCAGGCTAAGGCAATCTTAGCTCTAGCAGAGTTTCTCTAGGCATCCCAAGATCTCAGGCTGGTCCTGCCTGGCTCCAAACCTTTACTCTGACCCTTCTGGTGGGCCGCCCCCCTCAGCTGCATTTCACACTCACAGGTTCCAAACTTGAACTCAGTCTCCCCATCTTGAGCCATTTATTTGCCTTGACACCCCAGCTTCCTTTCATACCCCATGACTGTCTCAGCAGGTGATCCCAGGGACACTTCTGGGGTCTCCACTGCTTTGATCCCCACATGCAGGAGCTGGCCCAGCCACACACACTCCTTTCATTACCTCCCTTCCTCTCTGGGCATGGCTGCCGGTGGGCTCGGTTTCTGTCACCTGCTGCAGGAATCCTGGAAGATCCTTCACGTAACATTCCTTTCACAGTTCTGTGTTAAACACTAGAGAGCAGTCAAAATGAAATGCAGCATTCCCACCCCAGGGTGCACACTGGGCACGGACTGATTTTCCTCAAGTGCTTCTTTGATGTCCTCCTTTGCCTGCTCAGAGAACCGAGTTCTGCCCCGTCGCATTCCCAGCTCTCCAGCTGAGCTTGTGGCCCAGGGCAGGGATTTGGTACCAGTTTGATGGCTGAATTGAATAAATCAATGGAGTCAGTGGACATCTGTGGGTGCCGTCCAGGGCCGTTGGTGTGGTGTTCTGGCTATCTGGTGGAGTGAGTAGTCGCAGGCTGGAGCAGACCCGAGCTAGTGAGCCAAGGGCTGTGCTTTCCATCATGGTGAGCTCAGACAAGTCACCTACCGGCTCTGAGCTTGGTTCTGTTTTAAAATTCTACACGGGATGCAAGTTCCAGACCAAGTCTCCTTGATGCTCCCTGCATTTCCAACTCTCCGTGACCTGTCCCTTCTCTGGTGGGGAGGACTAGCTTGATCTCTGTGGCTTGAGAGGGTTCTCCTGGGATGGGGGCTCACTTGTGATGGGCCACCTGGAGTAGGCCCCTGGGATGGGGTGTCTTGGTGAATACTACCCAGAGCTGTACACAGACGTGTCCCCATGGGCATTGCTGATTGCAAAGGGGACCGTGGCTGGGAGGGGACCATGACTGAAGAGATGGTGGCACCCATGTAGCTCGCACAGAGGCCTGGCCAAGGTTTGCCAGGTAATCTGCTGGCAGCCTCCTAATCCAAACTCACTAGAAATTCTAGTCTAGGACTCCTGCTCAGTGTGATAGGGACTATCAGGAATGTAGTCAGGGGAACATGCTCAGGATGTGGAGGAGACTTAGAGCCACGTAAATGAACAGCCAGGAATGAGAGGCCTCACATCCACCACAGACATCTGACAGTCTGCCATGTGGCAGGAAGACTGGATTTCTCCTCTATGGGACCTCATGGGTAGGACTGGGAAGTGAATTAACCAAAGAACAAACCCTGACTTACTTGCTAGCGTAGCATCATTGGCCAGCACCAGGGCCTGCTTGGCACAGAGTAGGTACTCAGTAACTATTTGATGAATGAATGGAAGAACAAATGAAAGCAACTGGCAGAAATAACAGGAAGGCAGACGTGTCTCTGCATAAAGAATGTTTTGAAAATCCCTTGTGTCATAACTGAGCTAGCAGTCATTTAGCTCTTGATTCCAGAGTCTTACACAAGGCCTAGGAAGTTGTGAGTACCAGGGGCAAATTGGCCAGTGATGGGCTGGGGCATCGTGCTAAGTGTGGACTAGGCAAGGAGTGAGAGGGAGGTTATCAGAAGGGATTTAGATGTAGGGCTTTGAGATGCTCAGGGAGATAGGAGATTTCACATCTTAGAGCCAGAGGAAGCCTGTCCTGCTGCCTCCAGGGCCTTCCTGGGGAATCAGCTCATCTTGGGAATGGGGTCAACAGAGCGTCTTCATTAGCATAGCCTGGAAGCTGGCTGGCTGCCTGTCCCAGGCTTATTCAACCACTGGCCCCTGGTTTGTTTGTGTCAGGAATAGAGGCGGCCATAAAGCTTCTGCAACTGAGTGTGTCTGAAGATTAAGGAAATTCAAATTTATTCTAGAGTCTCCCAAGTAATGGACAATCAAGGTAGGTCATTTCAAAGACGTGTGAGATGTTTCAAAAGATGAAAGATCAAAGTTGGTGAGTATCTTCTTAAGCAAGGAGAGGAGGGACTCGGTGGGGGAGAGAATTAGTTTCTAACAAGAGAAGATGCCCAAAAAGGATGGGAGGTGCCTGAGAACAGACTCCATAAAGCACTCACCACCTTTATTAGCTCAGAGACTCCAGTCACCAGAACATTATTTTTTAGGAATTAATGAATCAATTAGCTTCACCAGTTTCCCCTTCACTTCCAAAACTGTTGATCTGTTCCACCCCTGCCAACGTCAGGATGGTATATTGTATTTTCATTTTAATTCAGTTCAAAATTCTTTCTCATCCATTTTCTTCTTTGACCCATAGGTTATGGGAAAGTGTGTTATTCAGTCTTCCAACACCAAAATCAATTTCAAATTTAGTTTTCACTTTCCATTGGTCTGGCCCAGAGTTTCTCCCTAATATTTATACAGGAATCTTCCATCTCTTTCCTGTTATTTTTTTTGTCAGAAGGAGCCTGGCTTTTGATTTTTCCTCATATTTGAGGAGTCAGATTCCAGGGCAAATGCCTATCTGACTGGTTTTTACCCGAAGAATAGATTAAAAATGGTTCTGGCATTCAGGGCTTCCCACACCCGGGCTAACCTGAGCACAGCTTGCTGGTGCCTGCAGCTGTGACTGCAGCTGGAGTAGTTTCCCCAATGTGTTCGATTCTGTTGATTGGGGTTGCTGGGAATGCTCGCTCCTCAACCTCTTATGGAAACTGTCAATCAAAACACAGTGAAAATGCTTCCTCATCCATAGCCTTTTTCCTGTCTCTGAATGAGCTTGCTTCTAATCGAAATCTTTTCTCTGTGCTCTCTCTTTCTCGCTGTTTCTCTCTCGCATACACCCCCTCTCTTATTGCCTTTATAGCATCAAGGTCATTTACTTTCATCCCTCTTATTAAAATCTACCCCCCTCCATCCAAGCAAACCCCGCAGCACCCCGCCTCAGCACTGTACCCTATCTGCTGAAACAAACTGACTGTGATTTTCCCCTGTCCTCAATGTACTGACTGATTTATATTTCAGACTTTACCACAGTGGGAACACTGCCGGGGGGGGGGGGTGGTAACAATACAGGGGCGAGAGAGGCTGGGGAAACCTTAGGAACCTTCTCTGCTTCCTGATGACCTCACAGACAGCAGAAGAGGGAAGGAAGAATTCATGGCCACAGAGCATCGGCTGCTTAAGACTTGGCTTCCTCTGCATCCCCAGACCTTGCAGGGACAGGAAGCATCCTGTGTGGGTTACGGCCTCTTTCATGAGCTCATTAATGCTTTATAGGAGACAAAATCACTGACTAATAGAGTGATTGTATAAGAATCGACATAAATATTAATGAGGAAAATGCCAGTTTCTTGCACCAACACCCACGATAGGTCTATATAAGATGTAGGGGAGAAGGAAGGCTCTGCTTCAAGCAAATCCAACCGTGGGCAGAGCAGGAGTCTGACCTTTTACACCATGACTTCTAACTGCTGCAGTTCTCTTGGCGGGCAGGTCTCAGAGCCCAAGGCGGCCCCCATGTGCCTACTGGCCAACCTGGCACACGCCAACCGGATCCGTGTGGGGTCCACCCCCTTGGGCCGACCCAGCCCCTGCCATCCCCCGAGCTGCCACAGCGCTTGCCCTCTGCCAGGCACCTGCAACATCCCTGGCAACATCGGCAGCTGCGGGGCCTGTGTGGAAGGCAGCCTGAACGGCCACGAGAAGGAAACCATGCAGTTCCTGAACGACCGCCTGGCCAACTACCTGGGGAAGGTGCGCCAGCTGGAGCGGGAGAACGCGGAGCTGGAGACCAAGATCCAGGAGTGGAGCAAATGCCACGAGTCCACTCTGTGCCCAGACTACCAGTCCTACTTCTGCACCATCGAGGAGCTGCAGCAGAAGGTGAGGTTTGTGGTGCTCCAGATCAGGGGGATGGCCAGCTGGGCTAAAGCTGGTGTACTGCCTTTTGTAAATAAAGTTTTATTGACACATGTCCATGCTCATTCATTATGCTGCTTTTGTGTTACAATGGCAGAGTTGAGTAGTTGGGATGGAGACTCATAGTGTACATTATTATTTATCCCTTTCCAGAAAAAGGTGATGGAGTAGTCGCCCTAAATTTTTAGGGCCTGAATTGGCAGTGGAAATAGCCACGGATATTTCTATTGATTGTGGGAAGAGAATCTTCTAAGTGAAGGTCAATGGGAATATGTAAAGAGCGAGGCATAGGATCTGACTGTCTAGGACTCTGAGTTTATGTTTTACTTCATTTCAGTACTTCTAATTTCTAAATCGTATTTGCAAAAATAGTGCAATCTAAATGCTGGCGCAGTGCAGGGAGGGAGAGGGCTTGCTCGGATGTCCCCAGCAGGTCAGTGTACCTGCAGGGAGCAGGACCAGCCCTTGCCTGTCTGCTGCCCTCTGTTACGAGCACAGTGCTTCGTGAGAGTCTAAGTCTGTTCAAAAGAAGATCAACTCTAGTCATTTGTGGCAACGTGGATGGAGCTGGAAGGGATATGCTAAGCAAACAAGTCAGAAGGAGAAACACAAGTACTGGCATCACTTTTATGTGGAATAGAGAGAAACCAAACAGAGAAGCAGAAAAAGTCAAACTTGAAAACTAACCCTTGAAAGATGGTCAGAGGGGGAAGGGAGGCAAGAGGGGCGAGGGCCAAGCACAATGGATTGGGGGTGCTTTGGTATGTGGTGGCCGGCCCTGGGGAGGAGAACCTATCCTCACAAAACACGATCAACTCTATAAACCAGCGGCGTTTTAATAATAATAATATAAAAGGAATCTGCGTCTGGGTTTTGGAGACGGAAGATAAAGAACACCACAATGGAGCAACAGAAATCTGCTTAGAAGAACTTTGGGGAGGTGGACCAACTGGCCCAAGGGGCTTCTTATTAAGAAAGGATCCACCTCATTTAAAACTTTCATTACCAGCTCACTGTTCTTATTCCCCCAGATTCCAGCTCTCGTTTGTACCAGGCTCAACACAATAGCCGGCCAAATAAAGTGGCGTCTTTATGTTCAGTGGTGTCACTTTCTCTCCTGGCTCTCGCACACCCCCAACCTGGCTCCTCACCCACACGCTTACATGTTTGGGAGTTTGTATGGTCCATGGCGGTGCTGTAGATTGAATGGCAGCCAGTGGGACTTTGACCCCAGGCCACCAATGGCTCTGCAAACAGGCAGCCACTGAGCCTACTTTATTCCCCCAGATCCTGTGCGTCAAAGCTGAGAACAACAGGCTGGTCGTGCAAATAGACAATGCCAAGCTCGCTGCAGACGACTTCAGGACCAAGTGAGTTGGGGTAGGACAGTCAGGAGCAGCTGCCAGATGCCAACCCTGGCTTCTCTCTTGGGATGCACCTGGCATCAAAGGTGTCATTGGCCAACGTCCCGGAACAGTAGTCACAGGCAGAGAAGATAGGGGGCGTGAAAGCCAAGATCTTGTAGATGTACCCCCTCCCCTAACCTACAGCTGTTTAGCTTTCATAGTTGACTGCAGGATTTAGCCGCATTGATTGTGAGGGCCCGGTGAGGCCCAGCAGGGGCGGCGTCCTGTTCGTGAGGACACCGAAGCTCAGAGTGGTGAGGTCACCTGCCGAAGTTGTGTGGCTGTGGGGTGCAATATTTTTAACAAACTCTGTTAACTCAGTAGGCGTATGCTTCCATGCTGCAAATCAGCAACTTGTGAGCACTAATAACCCCCCTTGACTCATGCTCTATACTGTACGGTGGAGCACGTGAAGGTCAAGGGCTAGTGCCCCTGAGAAGGTCTGACCTGGGAGCCGGGGGGCCTTACATTTTACCTTCTGTAGAGCCTCACCCCTCCAGTGCTGAATAAAGCCTATTCTGGCAACTGGGATTCTAATCAGAGGACACAGCATCCATCACGGGGGGAGTAGACAAGGGCCTACAGTGACCACGCTTCTGCCTGGTTACTCTGTCATCTCCCTTTTGGCCATTAAGCCACAAGGGCAGGTGCTGGCTGTGTCCATCCGGTATCCTCACTGTCGGCCACTCTGCCTGGCTTGCCTAGGTGCTTAGTGCCGAATGAGTGGGGGCCCCACTGCTCTCTGGGCTCTGAGCGCATGGCGCATGAAACACAGAGGGACAGAGTGGAGTGATGCTGTCTGCTGGGCCCTCTGCTCTCTGACCTGGCCTGCCCGGCACAGGTACGAGACCGAGCACTCGCTGCACCAGCTGGTGGAGGCCGACGTCTGTGGCCTGCGCAGGGCACTGGATGACTTCACGCTGGCCAAGTGCGACCTGGAGACCCAGCTGGAGTCCCTGAAGGAAGAGCTGCTGTGCCTCAAGAAGAACCACGAGCAGGTACATAAGCCTTTGTGTGGCACAGGGTGACTTTCTGGTGGTGAACGGAGGCTCCTTTAGGGGAAGAAATGAGGCTCTTCCTGCTCAGGCTGGAACCTTCAGGGGTTGGCCTTGGTCACACCGTCAGCCATGGCAGGAGCCTGCTCTTCAGCCACAGCCTCTGGAGCTGCTGGGGTGGTACAGTGGTGAGGTGGGGGGGACTCATCCTTGGAGGGCACAGGGAACCCCGGGGGGGATGGGAAGTGAGGGAGAAGGCTTTGCATGGAGTGCAGTGGGCCCCAGGGCTGGGACATTCTCCTCCTGTCCCCGCAGGAGGTCCACACTCTGAGGTGCCAGCTCGGGGACAAGCTGCGCATTGAGCTGGACACTGAGCCCAGCGTGGACCTTGTCAGGGTACTGGAGGAGACGCGGTGCCAGTATGAGACCATGGTGGAGACCAACCGCCGGGACGTGGAGCAGTGGTTCCAGGCGCAGGTGAGGGGGCGCCACGAGCAGGCAGGGGCTCGGCTTCTGCTCCAGTCTGTGAGCTGATTTGTGTTGTTTGACCCACTGTGCTTCAGTCCGAAGGCGTCAGCCTGCAGGACATGTCCTGCTCCGAGGAGCTGCAGTGCTGCCAGTCGGAGATCCTGGAGCTGAGACGCACCGTGAACGCCCTGGAGGTGGAGCTTCAGGCTCAGCACACGCATGTGAGTCCCTGTGTGCGTGGAGCCTCAGCGTGGCTCCTGTTCCGAGCAGGTGCTCCCGGGCTCAGCACATACCTCGCTTACATGTAGAGCACAGCTCAACCTGGCCTGTGCAAGGACGGGCTTATAGATGTTTCCTCAGATGCTGAGGAAATGAACATTAACTGTGGGGGAGGGTGCCATGCCCTGCAGGCCCACACTAAAGAGCTACAGCACATCCTTTGTTCCTTCACCTGAACATCCCTAGCAGAAGCTGGATTGTCCTCCGGGCTGGCAATGTCTTGGGGTGTCGTGGTCTTACTAAAGTGGCAGAGGGGTTCATGCTCTTTAACCTCCTTCCCCCTTTCACTGATATTCCAGAAAGACTGTCTGCAGAACTCGCTGTGTGAGGCTGAGGACCGCTTCGGCACGGAGCTGGCCCAGATGCAGAGCCTGATCAGCACTGTGGAGGAGCAGTTGGCCGAGATCAGGAGTGACCTGGAGCGGCAGAACCAGGAGTACCAGGTGCTGCTAGATGTCAAGGCCCGGCTAGAGAGTGAGATCAGCACTTACCGGAATCTTCTAGAGAGCGAGGACTGCAAGTATGTGCCCTGAATTTGTGTCATTGTCACTGACCTTTAGGAGCGGCCCAAAAAGAGGGGTGGCACTGCAGACCCCAGTTTTGGGGACACATCTTATTAACCATTAGCTTGGTGAGTGGCCAGGTGCAGAGGCCAGCAAGTAGGAATGCTTAATTGCTGCCCATTTTGCTGGTGCTCTGAGGTGCTGGTCACCCTGGGGACTCCATGCATTTAGGTCTTGCTAAATTCTCCCTGGAAGAAGTAATCCAGTAGTGGGAATTCTTTATTCTCAGCATTTAAAAATCTTGCCAAGGGCATTAGCACCTATTCTCTCATTGTCCTCAGTGTTGTGAGAAGCTAGGATGCTCTGTACACCCCTCCGGGCAGTGAGGGACAAGGACAGGAACTATTGAAATGAAAAGAGTGACTGGTGACTGGCCTGTTCTTGCTCAGCCAGCCTTGCTGTCCACCATGCCCTTCCTCTCCATGTGGGAGAAGACGTGGGGGCGGGGGCACAGGGCTCTGCCACCTCTATGGTGCACTCTAGCCAAGTCGCTGCCACCTTTCAGGCCTTGCGTGACCTCTAAGGTCTAAAATCTCCTTTTGCTCATGTGTCTGTCTGTATGCTTTCATTTTTCATGCACTTCTCATGCCAATGTTGCAAACATCCTTTTCTCTCTGCAGGCTCCCCTGCAACCCGTGTGTGACCCCAGCCTCCAGCACTCCATACCCAGTCCCCGCAGCCTGTGTTCCCTGCTCTCCCTGCCTCTCCCGGACACCTCGGGCCTCCTGTGGGCCCTGCTCATCCTCTCGGTGCTGAGGGGAAATATCTGCGACCCTGGGAGCTTCCCTCCCCAGGCCTGGCACCCTGGCCTTTCTTGCTCAGCCAGCCGGGCAGGAGACAGAAGCCAGGCAGCCCTTCTCTGTGGGGGGGCTTTCCAGTTCAGAGGCTGAGCCCCCCTGGAGTTGTACTTCCCCCTATTTGCTCTCATCTTTTGCCTCCTGGTCTCTCTGAGATGTGGCAGGAAACCTTGTTTTTATTTTGTTAATAAACCACACCTGCAGCATAAGGAGCCGGTTCCTGCTGGTCTCAGCATCTCCTTCCACATGGAGAGGGTGGCTGGTGGCTTCCTAAGCCAGCTCTGCCCATGGGAGCAGCGGTTATGGATCTGGGGGATGGCAAGGCCAGTGAGGACCGCGGTGGAAACGCAACTGCAGTTTTTGACTTGACCTGCCTATTGCAGAGCCGGTTCCGCAGAGCTTTTAAAATATAGACACAAAATAAAATTTCCCTTTTATCTGGAGGAAGCCCTCTGCCCTCACGCAAAGTTAAAGGTCTGGTTGGAGGTTCTGCTAGATCCCCCTGGAAAATTATACTTGAAATAAACTTTGGTGACCACTTGCCCCATGTGAACAGGGCACTGTGCTGGGGCTCTGCAGACGCTGTGACCGTGGGTCCCATAAAACCCTGCAACAAGGGGGCGGCTCTTACTGTTCTCAGCTGGTGACTGAGTCAACATTTGAACCCCAGTCTCTTTGAACAGGATCTGAAGCCCAGGCTTGGGAAGCTTTGAAGGGGAAAAACATTAACCACCAGAAGGTGTAGGGCTGTGGTTCTAAATCCTGTCCTCCAGATGGTAGCACCGGCATTACCTGGGAACTGGCTGGAAATGCAAATTTTGGGGCCTCGTCCCAGATTTTCTGAATAGCAGTCTGGTTTGTGGAATCTTCTGGGTAATTCTATACACCCTCAGGTGTGAGAATTACTGTTTTAAGGATTTATTTGGGGAGTGATTCTCTGTGATTGGCCCGATCCTCTGTAGAAGGGCTTGGCCTTCTCCTGATAGAGTCCACAGGCAAGTGATCCTTCACGCATTTGCTAATTGCCTCTGCTAATTGTCGAGCTGTCAGGTGATCAATGTAGCAAATCAAGCCGACCTGCCCAAGCGCCCACAGGCTCCACTGGCAAGTCCCTCCAGCATCTTCCCAGCTTGGGACTGGCAGACAATAGACACACGAACCAGAGTGGCCAAGCACAGTCTGTAGAAAACAGTGTCAGAGACAGCCAGCAATGGGAAGCAGTGATCCCTGTCACTGGAGGCCTTTACCTCTGGCTGGTGGGGTGTGGAGGTTACTCAGGCATCTGATGGTGTTGGATGAGATAGTTGTAGAGGGTCTTGTAGCCCCCCAATTTTAGGACTCCCTGCTTTCTAGGTCTTATTCATCAGTGAAATCACAGTGGTCGAGAGGAGCCAACACACTGTCGCTGCCCCTGGAGTCTCTGTATCAGAGGGACTCGTGGAGAAATTTACAAGGTCCAGCTGATGGTTCTTGAGTCCAGCCTGATGCAGGAGAGAGCACAGTTCTAAGCGCCAGGGGCGGAGAGAGCTTAAGCCAGTACTTGGCTGTTATGCCTCCAATTGCTCTGAAGCCCCGCCTCCCACCAGTCAGACACTGTCTGTGTAGAAAGGATAGATTTGCTAGGGGAGCATCAGGACTCCCACCGTGGAGGCTCTGTAGGGGTCAGATGCTGTCACATCTCACCTTCGCTTCACCTCCACTGCACCTCTGCTCAATCCCCCAAGCACTGGGGGTGTGTGGGCACAGGCAACACAACCTCAAGGCACTTGCCTAAGAGTCCGATCCCAATAAAAAAGAGCAATCTTGATCAGTCTTAATTTAGCACCTAGCCCAAACACCTTCACCTCCGCCTTTGTACTTAAATAGCTCCTTTCATCCAACAAGTTCAAAGCTGTCTAACAAAGTAAAGCCACTTATTCTTGCACCATGACAGAGGAGGCGAGCACAGTTCTTCCCATTTAAGGAGAGAGAGAGAAGGTGAGTCACGCAGGGGCTGAGGATTCTTCTGGTGATATGAAATGAGTCAGTGGGGCCCTGGGGTAACTGACCTGTGTTTTCTTAAGTTCACATCCAATGCCTCGACTGTCATTTATAATCAAAAGCTTAATTTTAACGAGACATTGTGTATGCGTGAGTGTGAGTGTGGGTGTGTGCGAAAAGGTTGGGTTCCTGGGAAGAAATGCTGGGTAGATGTGATTATTACGCTTGGGGAGGGATGAAGAGCTTCCCCGGAAACCAAACAATCCTTTAACCACCATCACCACCATTATCCTTTTCATTATTGGGCCTCCTGTGGGCTCGATCATCACCGTCATCACCACATTTCCTCATCATCATCACTGCCACTGAAGCTCATGTTCATGGAGTTCCTACTATGAGCCAGGCACTGATCTAAGTTCTAGATAAGCTTGTATGCATAAACCCATTTAATCTTGACAGCAATCCTACGAAGTCAATGCTATTATTATCCCGATTTTGCAGATGGATGAACCAAGGCTCAGAGAGGTTAAGTAACATGTCCAAAGTCACACAGCTACTAAGTAAAGGCAGGCTTCAGAACCAGGCAGTTTGTTCCCTGCAACCGCGCTCTCAACTACTCTGTACCTTACAGAGGCCAAGTCACAGATTGTGCCAACAGGCTGACAGAACCAGAATTCCCTAATGTTTTGATTCTTTGTCCTTGAAAGTGAGTGTTTATGCGACAGGAGTCTTTCCTGAGAATTATGCCATAAAATTATGGCATGAAAGGTGGTGCAAGGAATGAAAGTTCCATAGTATCTTAAATTTTAGGATCCTAGAAATTTTAATGATGGAGAATCAACAAAGAAATCCAATCCCTCCACCCTACACCATTATAAGAACCACTTTGTTAAGAAGACATGAAGAATAGTCAGAACCCCCTACCTATATTCACTGTTTTACCAATAATATCGTTATCCAAGGGGGCCTCTTGTGCTGATGGCACAAGGGGTTAAGATGCAGCCTATGAAGCTACCCACAGCCACTGCAGCACGAGTTCAATCCCCAGCCAGGGAGCTACCCACATGGCGCAGCAGACCTCTCCTGACTCGTCTGCTGCTTCCCTCAATAGCGTATTTCAGTAGATCTGCCTGTTCTGTTCCCCACTCTGTCTCTGGTGAATCCTCTCACCCCCCGCACCTCTGCCCTGTACCCCAGTTCTTGTATGCACAAATAAATAAAAATAATAATAATATCATTATCCGATATAAGCATGTCCTCTAACCCCTGAGAGAGGCAGAAGGGGCTTCACACTCCCCTTTTGCAGGGAGAAGCCCAAGGTTAGAGGTGGGTGATGTCCCCCCAGGTCCCACAGCTGGTCTCACGCAAGCCTATGTCTTCTCAGTCCTGGCTCAGTGCCTTTTCCTGGCACCCACTGTTAAGGACCTTGTTGGAGGTAGGTTTGGATGAAACTTCATGTTCAGACCCACTCTCAAATCCTGGGGGAAGTGGCTGAGGTAGATTTTACAGGGCAAAGGCATGCCAGGGCCTGGGACTCTCCCCAAGGAGAACCTTCTGGTGCTCTCTCCCGTGCTCCATGTCTTCACCCAAACACATTTCATATTCAGTTATGGGCTTTCTCAGCTGAGGGTCCCCATTTACCCTGATTTTTATACCCAAATCTCCATTGTTTCCTTTATTTCTTTTTCCTCCCTGTTCCCAAACTTCCTATCTCTGTGCCTTAGTCACCCTCATTGGCCTCTAAGATTTTCCACCAGTAAGTACCTCCCCGCACAGATGTCTCTGATCCCTACAGCCCCTACAGATGTCTCTGATCTCGAGGGTGGCAGGAGGGTGTCTGCTCACCAACAGGTACTTAGCACCTCTGTGTCCCTCTACGAGTCTCATTTCTTGTCTTTCCTCTTCTACTTGCTTGGCTTAGCACTGCCTCTTGCTTTCTTTTGCCCCATACACTTCCCTGCAATCTTCTTCACGGCCGTGACACTACTCTCCATGCCACATATCCTGCAGCGCTGCCACAGGGGCCGAGCTTGGGCATTCCCTGCCACCACCCTGGGATCTCCAAAGCAACAAGAACCAAATACCAAAGTAACTAATTACCAGGCCTGGATGAAGAAAAGATTCTTAAAGGGATTAGGATTCTAATAAGATCAGTTGTTTCAATCCTACCTCTGAGTCATTTCGACAGTGGGGATATATCTCCTTGGGGATACAGGTAAATAGTCTGTAAAGGCCACATCCTTCATCACCTGGGTTAGGATCATGAACGAGTTGGACTGGAGTTTGGGACAGGAATAGGTATGAGAAGGAGGGGTGGTGAGGAGGGAAGAAATTGTTTTGGGGTGAGGGGCCAATCATATTACCTTGTGTTAGGTTTAGCTGTGGGTTTCTCTGTACTCAGCAGAGCTGAGGGCCCATGGAGTGTAGGGACACACCACCATCTCACCCCCTGCACCCCTCCCATGCCCTCACCCCACTGCAGTCAGCTCTGGGACCATGCCTGGGGCTTGGCAGGTATTCAATGAATGACCACTGCCCTCGGTGCCATATATGCATTTTTCCAGTTACATAAAACGCAAACTGCATCATACCAATACAAAAGCCACTGCACACCAACTAGTGGCTTACTGATCATACTGTGCCATACTTTGACGTTCTGGATTTTTGATTTTTTTATTATGCTTTATATCAAGTCTATCGCTGCATGAGTAAAAACAAATACTTTATACAGCTTTTAAATGCAGTAATATTTCTTCAAAAAATTATCTCCTGTAAATAAAAAATTATTCCAAATATCCATCTTGCACCTGTTTAATATTTTAGCTTCTCACCTTGTTATTCCTCATGTTTTTGGGATCTACATTCACCTTCCTTTTCAGCTTAGTCTCATGCCCAGATACAACGACTGCTCCATAAATATGTTAAATCATATTGAACTAAATAAAGAAGTGGATTTGATAGCCCCTCAGCTGCTCAGTTTCTCTCTGAATAATTAAAATTTGCAAAATTTAAATTAGGAAATCAAGATAAGTGTGGTCAACTCCTAACCTGTGTGAGGTCCTGAAGACCTTATACCCCCAGAGACCCTATTTCCCCACTGATTCAAGAAGTAGACTCATTCTTGACATTTTGCAAACACTGCCAGAAAGAAGCCAGATTGACAAGGTGCTGAGGCATTGCTTACTCACCGGCCAGCCTGTCTTCTCTCTCCATCCTGAATTCTTGTGCCATTTCACGTGCAGGCAGCCATCTGGGCAAAAAGGAATGTCCAGGAGCAACCAGCAGGTGACAGGGTAACCTGTTCTTCCAGCATCTGCTGCGCGTTGCCGTTGGGCGGTGGCCTGAAGCCCGTGCTCCTGGCGTCCTCGCTCCTCTCCACACGCCTTCCTCGCTCAGGAACAGGGAGTGTTGCCCATTTTAACTTAGGCTGCCTGGGTGTAGACAGCTGTACATTTCTCAATCGCAAGTAAGTGTCAAAGTGGATCATGGAGGTGATGTGTGGGTGACCTGTTGGAACACTGCCATTTCTTTTAGAGGTTTCGGAAGGCATGGTCCCCATCGGTGGATCTTTACTGAGTCATTTGCATTTCTATCCTGCAGACCACGCTCTGTCCATCAGTTCCAGTCTCCTGCTCTCCTTCTCAGCTATGCATCCTCCAGCCCCCTCTGAACATGGGCTGGCTTCCTCTCATCAGGTGGCTCTGTGTGGTGGTGGGGATTCCTTCCAGGTTTCTTCCTCGCCTCTTCTTCAAGTTCTTATTATCTCTTTGTCTCCAACGCTTTCCATTTCTCTGATTTCTGTTCCTCGCCTGCAGATTGTAATTTTGCTTGTTAGTTGACTTAATGCTCAAATCTCATGCGTAGAATCTAGCTGTTCTCCTTTGACGAAGCCTGCACGATGCTCACTGGCCAATCAGCAGAGGATGGAGAATGCGGCTGGCATTGAGCCTGTGCTCCTGGCAAAAGCTCCCTGTGTGGGGAGCAAGGCAGGGTGAGGGGACATCTCCTTGCTGGGAAGCAGTGCTTTGGAGCCGGCTGGCCAGAGATGGGGAGCAGAAGGCCTGTGCTGTTTTCTGCGAACCGATGCTCATCAGTCGGATTCACAGGTCTTTCCATTAGTTCCGCGCCCAGGTGCAGTGCGAAAGAGTTCCCTCCGGCAGCCGCCGCCTGGCCTTGCATCCTGCCTCTGCGGAGTCTCGGGATGCCTCCCTCAGGACCCACCTTGTTCTCCCTCCTTAATTGCTTTGGAGGAAAACAAAGAAATTTTGATTTTATTGTAAGACCAGGGCTTCTTTGTAGCGTGACGGGACTTTTCATCTGAATGGCATTATAATAAGCGGCAATAATGACCTTGGAGAGGGTAGATGAAGGACCATTTATCTGAGACTCAAGCAGAGGGCCCCATGAGTACTATCATGAAAGGCCGATGGGGAGAAGGACTCCAATAAGTTGTCAATAAAACGGGAGCTCTGGCTGGCAGCCAAAGCCACAGCCGAGGTTGGGGTGCTGCTGCCTGAGATGCGGGTGATGCCCGATAGTTTCTATAGTTACGCAACTTTTATATACTCAGAGCTTCAGGCACCCCTTCCTCAGACCTTTGGTGCCGTCCCTCACCTCCCAAATCAACCCCAAATGACTCCAAGCTTGTCTTGCAAAACCCCCTGCACATTGTGTGTCTCAGTGTCTTCTTTCTCAGCGTGCAGGTCCTTGGATTCCAGCACACAACTGCACAGCCCTCCCTTCTACCTTTCAGCTGTGGTCCTTAAACCAGGCTGCACACACCCCAGGGTGGGGGTGGGAAGCCCAGGCCCCTATATGGTGCATCTGCCTGGTGTGTCAATTTTATTTTGCAAAAAATCGAAAGTTTAACCAGATATTTGGAAACAATTTTCTATGTTAAAAACAACATGGGCATATTAGGGGAGACGAGGCCTATTCTTAGGATGTTTTAAGATCGACTGCATAGGTTTTGTGTTTGAGGAGGGCCTTTCTGGGCTGCCTCCTGATGGTCACTCGGTTCTAATGCTATGGACAGTCTGGTGGGGTAGCCTGATAGCCTCATTCCTTTCTCTCATGCCTGCCTCCAGATACTGCTCATAAGTAGTTTAAGTTCAGGTGGGATGTCTCAGTTTGTATTGTTTCCAGCTGTCAATGTCACAATCATCTCTTCTTCCAGAAACTTTCCTGTTCTCAAATTATTTTTAAATTCCTCTATACTCTTTTAGGTGACATAGAGGAGGTTTTACACAAACCACTGCTCAGCCGTGGCCCAAGCTAGTCTGTACCCAGGGACTCCGAGTCTCCTAATGCATGGGGTGCCACATCATTGGGGGATCCTGCTCTCAGAGCAGATGGAGGGGGGCCCACAGCTGCTGCTTCACCAACTTCTTCTCGACCCAAGCCCAGTTCCTCCCTAGAAACTCCTGGTGGGCCAGGACAAGGGCCTGATTATGGGTTTAGAGGATCATGTAACACAAGAGTATGCAATTGGCTGGGGACCAACTCCCAGTTAACAAAGGAGATATTTGGGTTAGACCGTGTGGCTTCTTTGAAGGCCTACCACAAAACTCTGATTTCATGGGTGTGCAGCCTGCAAAGGAGTCCTGACTTAGCAAGAAGCCCAAGTAAAGAATTTTATGGGACAAGGGACTCTTCTGGGAAAAACAAATAACAGACTGAAGGGAAGGGCATTTGAACACCAGTGAGGAAGTAAAAAGAAAAAAGACATTACAGACTGTGCCCACACCCTCTTTGGAGGGGGTATAAATGCTCCCCAGAGGAGGAAGCCCACAGCTCCGTGTCTTAGAGAACTCGGAATCTACCTTTAGTCGGGCCCTCTGCTCCCTCCCAGCACCATGCCTTACACCTGCTGCCTGCCGAACCTGAGCTGCCGCTCCAGCTGTGCCTCTCGGCCCTGCGTGGCCCCCAGCTGCCATGGCTGCACCCTGCCCGGGGCCTGCAACATCCCCGCCAATGTGGGCAACTGCGGCTGGCTCTGTGAGGGCTCCTTCAATGGCAACGAGAAGGAGACCATGCAGTTCCTGAACGACCGCCTGGCCAGCTACCTGGAGAAGGTGCGCCAGCTGGAGCGGGAGAACGCCGAGCTGGAGGGCCGCATCCAGGAGTACTGCCAGCAGCAGGTGCCCTACGTGTGCCCCAACTACCAGTCCTACTTCCGCACCATCGAGGAGCTCCAGCAGAAGGTGAGGGCCTTGTGGTCATCTGAGCAAGGGGAGGTCTCAGTCTGGAGGAGAACTGTGCTTCTTGCTTCTATCCATCATGATTCTTGCTTCCCCTTTTAACCTTCAAAATAGCTTTTTAAGCCAAAATGTCTATTTCCTGTCTCACTAAGCTATGTGTCACCCCCAGATCCTGTGCACCAAATCCGAGAACGCCAGGCTGGTGGTGCAGATTGACAACGCCAAGCTGGCTGCGGATGACTTCAGGACCAAGTGAGTTACTCAGAATTGACATGGTGCCCACTATTTTTATTTAATTTCTAATTAAACAAAAGGGATTTCTGTAGCTTTACTGAACCACTGTTCAATCCAGTGAAGGATTTGGCAGAGGATTGAGGTGGGGTGAATGGGAAAGCAAAAGAACCACAAAATAGATGAGACCTCAGATCAACGTTTGGTGTTTCTTTCTGGATCGCTATTGGGTCTAGAAACTACTCTCCAGACAGCAGGAAGACAAAGCAAATGGGGGATCGAAGCTCATACCTGTGAGTCTTCACGGTCTGTCAATTACTGCCTGATCCTGTCCTTGTGCAGGTACGAGACGGAGCTAGGCCTGCGCCAGCTGGTGGAGTCGGACATGAATGGCCTGCGCAGGATCCTGGACGAGCTGACCCTGTGCAAGTCGGACCTGGAGGCCCAGGTGGAGTCCCTGAAGGAAGAGCTGCTGTGTCTCAAGAGCAACCACGAACAGGTGAGCCCAGAAGTGATAAATAAGGGAACCTGAGTCAGCTTCCGGCTGAGGGTGGCCTTAGAGAGATGGAGTGGGGAAATCGGGAGTGTGAGGCTGAGGGTGCCTTTATATTTGTCCTCTGAAGACACCAAAACTCACGATGTGAGAATGAATCTAGAGAAGGAAGCATCCAAGCTCCCACATAAAAAGTCCCCGTCACTCGAGCTGCAGCCTCCGCTGCGCGTCCCAGGGCCCCTTGGCTTGTCTGGGTTTCTGGACTGCGGAGTGGGTGGCAGCATCTCAAAGGCCAAACATCACACCCATGAATGGGAGTCTCCAGCCTTTCTGTTTTGGTCAAGAGTCCTCTGGGGCTCCTTCCTTCGGGGACGGACCACGGCCTGGTCTTACTTGATGGCCAGAATGATTTGATACACTCTCTGAAATTGTACAGCCAATTCCTTTTACGATGAGGTCATCTGCAGCCAGTCTGCAAATTGGGAAGTTGGGCATTAGGCCCTCCTTCCGCGGTGTCTAAAAGTCCTCAGAACACTATTTGAATGAGAGCACCAGGGCCCAGTCATGGGGGCCAAGGGATATGTGCTTTGAGATTTCATGACCGCTCCGAGAACAGTCTCTTCTTTTTAGGAAAGAGATTAATGGCTCCCACCAGCACTGTCACCTCTTAGTGCCCCCCTTTGTTGAGGACACTGACCCTTGTATTTTCTTCCGCCTGCAGGAGGTCAACACCCTGCGTTGCCAGATTGGAGACCGCCTCAATGTGGAGGTGGACGCTGCCCCCAACGTAGACCTGAACCGCGTGCTCAACGAGACCAGGAGCCAGTACGAAGCCCTGGTGGAGACCAACCGCAGGGACGTGGAGGAGTGGTTCACCACCCAGGTGGGCCTCTCAGCCCTGGGCATGTGGGAACCCAGGCCCCAGGGGCCCTGCAGGTGGGGTCTGACCCCAGATATCCCCTTTGCTGTTGCAGACCGAGGAGCTGAACAAGCAGGTGGTGTCGAGCTCTGAGCAGCTGCAGACGTGCCAGGCGGAGATCATCGAGCTGAGACGCACGGTCAACGCCCTGGAGATCGAGCTGCAGGCCCAGCATAACCTGGTGGGTGTTGTCAGTGCCTTGCCGGAAGTGGGAAGTCGGGAAATGGGAGTCAGTGGGATGCCTTTCAGGCCGCCCTCTCCCTTCTAACGCTAGCTGCTTGTGGCATCTTTGCAAGCCTGGGTGAGAAACCCCTTCAGGAGTGACTGTGAGATGTTTTCTATTCCCTACACAGAGAGACTCCCTGGAAAACACCCTGACAGAGACAGAGGCCCGCTACAGCTCCCAGCTGTCCCAGGTGCAGTGCATGATCACCAACGTGGAGTCCCAGCTGGCCGAGATCAGGAGTGACCTGGAGCGGCAGAACCAGGAGTACCAGGTGCTGCTGGACGTGCGGGCCCGGCTGGAGTGTGAGATCAACACATACCGGGGCCTGCTGGAGAGCGAGGACTGCAAGTGAGTACCCGTCTGGAGGCACTAGCTGGAGCCAGGCTCCATTTCCTTTGGGTTCCAGGTACAGACTGTAGGTCTTGGAAAGGAAATGATGCCTTCGCACCAGACATGCCCAAACAACTCCGAGAACACAATGAGGGCATCATTAAAAATGAAAAATGGCGAGACTTGCTGGATGTATGAACTGATAATGTATAGCCAGTTCTTAGTATTCCTCTGTGGTAACACCGACAGGAGAGCAATGCCTTGTCTTGCATGTTGGGTACTGAGTTGTGGAGAGGGTGCATTTCATCCACAGCCTCATCTGCCTTTCTTGTTACTGCCAGGCAGGCTGGCTGAGGCGTCTCCCCATTCTGTAGGGGAAGAAACGGACTCAGAGAAGTTAGGTGACTTGCCCAAGGTCACCTCTGGGGATGACAGTGTTGGGACTCAGGGCCTCTGAGTTTCTGTCTGGTGCTTTGACACTATCTGATGGGGACACCACTAGCAATTTGACAGAGCTTCTCGGCAGCTGAGCCTGCGGCCTTCTCTGTGTAAGGCCCGGCAGTCTGTCACTCCCGGCACATAATACAAACCTCCCTCAATTCATCTTTCCTGCCTTTCTTTTCCCCAGGCTGCCCTGCAACCCCTGTGCCACAACCAACGCCTCAAGTTGCGGCAAGTCCCTCGGGCCCTGCACCCCCTGTGCTCCCCCTGCTCCCTGCACACCCTGCGTCCCCCGGCCCCGCTGTGGGCCCTGCAACTCCTTTGTGCGGTAGAGCCCAGGCGCTGCCAGAGGAGCACAGAGGCAGGCCCAGCGTCCCAGAGTGTCCAGCAGGATCTGGTCCATTCCACGAAAAGCGTCTGAAAACAGTTTGTAATGCTGGAGTCGGCCCAGTGGGGCAGCCAAGAAACTCGCCCAGCCTCCGCCCCCCTTGACTTCCTTGGGGCTGTCCCATCTTTGCTTGCCCAGAGCAAGTGCCAGTGCCCTCCCTTGGAGCCTCCTAATAAACTTCGTTTCCCTGGCATGCAGATGCCTTTCTCATTGGTATTCATTTGTTTCGCCGCGCCCACCACTTGAGCTCTCTATAAAAAGCCACTTGAAGGTCAGACCATAAAATGGCCTGACTCTTGGAGACAGAAGCCCTTCCATGCCTGGCGGGCAGATGGCGGGCCTGGTGCCCTGGCCCTGTGGGTGAGGCAGGGTGGCAGGTGGCAGGAGGAAGGCAGAACTCCCCAGTGCAGTGGTCCTATCTCCCCTTGACTTCCCTTGGGGGTTCCCTCTCTCCTGTCTGGACCTGGACAGCTAGAGCTGATTGTACCCAAATTTGAACCCTGAGTTAGGGGCTGGAAAGAGGCACCGGGAAGCTCATCTTCCCAGCAGTGTATTCAGTCCAGTGTCACCTGGTTCCTGGTCCTGGCTGCCTCAGGAACGCCCAGCGGAGGGACCCTCGGGCTTGCTGGCGCACACCTGGAGTAGGGTGTGGGAATGCTTAAGTGGGCGGACCTGGGCTGAGACTGGGCTTATAAGGGTGGTGTCACGGGGACGCCAGCAGAACGAGAAAGAGCGACAGAATGAGAGGAGAATGAGAGCAGAACCAGCAGAAGAGCAAAGGAGAAGCAAAGACATGACGCCACGCTTATAAGCCCAGTCTCAGCTCAGGTGTGCCCACCCATGCATGCCCACACCCTACTCCAGGTGTCTGCCGTCAAGCATGCCTGTCGGACCGCAGGGATCCATCATTAATGCTAATGGTGGGAGGGCGGAAAAGCCTGACAATATTTCACTTACCCGACACTTGCCCACCACATCCCCCCTTCCCCTGCACGAGTGGGTCATCGCCAGCCTGGGCGCAGCTGCCTTCCCTGACTCTGGGGCTGAGAGACCCATTAACCCTTGCCTGATACTTGGCTTTTCTTGATTCTATTCAACCAGTGCCTGTTGAAAACCTACAGACCCCGGGTGGTGGGGAGCGGAGACACGTGAGGACACAGACCTGGCTACAGGTTATTTTCAGTTTGCTAAAAGGGATAAAACTAGTCCCTAGGGAGTGCTGTTCTGAGGCACAGTCCCCTAGCGCTCGTGTTGTAAGAGAATCTGGAAGGCACGAGTGCTGGGGAGTGAACGGCATCAGCCTTCGGCAAGAAGGGCATCTTTCTTTCACTCTTTGAAGAGCCACAGGTGATAAGCATTGACTTGCAAGCCTCAGGGACCATTTCGATGTGGAGGGATCAGAGACCACTCAGGTTTCTGTCTTTTCCCACTAAACCTGCTTGTCCATCAAACCAGGCCTCCTGAGGCAGGTGTCGGACCCCACTTTGGTGAGACACAGTCTTGTTCATTGAAATAAACTAATGGATTGTGTGTGTGTGTTGATTAAGCAACTACTTATTCTTTCTACCATAACTTCTCCCCTTGATCCTCATTTTCAAAGTTCAAGTTCAGGAAAAAATCAGATTTAAACAACTTGCACTTGGCTTGTGAGAAGCCTCTGACCTGGAATTCCTTCTCTGCTGTGATTTACCTCCTGTCTGTGATTTTCTCCGAGTCCAAGGCCAAGCTTGGCTAATTTTGCTTTTCCTTCATCCCACATCCCACTTACATATATGATTTCACAATACAAAGATAATACTAGTAGCTGTGGTAGGTAGAATAATTCCCCTCCCACCCCGAGCCTGTGGAAAGGTGTTTATGTTCTAATCCCAAGAACCTGGGATTATACCAGGTTATCACAAAGGGAAATTAAGGAAGCAGACGGAAATTAAAGTTGCTCGTCAGCTGACCTAAAATGCGGGAGATTATCCTGGATTATCTGGTGTCCCCAGTGTTCTTCAAAGCGGAAGAGGGAGGCAGAAGAGAGTGAGAGGGAAATATGACTGTGGACGCCAATGAGAGTGATGTGATATGAGAAGGACTTGACTTGGTATTGTAAGAGTTGAAGATGGAGGAAGGGGGCCACGAGCCAAGGAATGCAGGCAAGTTCTAGAGTTGGAAAGATAAGGAAATGGATTCTCCCCAGGAGCTTTGGGAAAAAACCCCACATTTCTGCCAATACCTTGGATTTTTTTTTATTGTGGCTCTCTCCATCCATCCATCATAAAACTAACAATTTAACCATTAATGTACAACTCAGGGCCTTTAAGTCTGTCCACACTGTAGTGCAACCATTCCCACTATCTCTCTTCAGAACTTTTTCAACAACCCAAACTCTGAACCTTCTCAATCCCTCTGCCCCAACTCCCTGGTAGCTTTGCTTTTACTTTATCTAGGAATGAATTCTAGGTTCCTCATATAAGTGAAATCATACAATATTTGCCCTTTTGTGTGGGGAGATTATCCTGGATTGTCTGATGGCCCCAATGTTCTTAAAAGTGGAAGAGGGAGGCATGCTATTGCAAATGTCAGAATTTCATTCCTTTCTAAAATTTTTAAAAAAGATTTATTTATGCATGCAAGAACTGGGGTACAGGCCAGAGGTGTGGGGGTGAGAGGATTTACCAGAGACAGAGTGGGGAGCAGAACAGGCAGACTGACTGAAATACACTGCTGAGGGGAGCAGCGGGCGAGGCAGGAGAGGTCTGCTGTGCCATGTGGGTAGCTCCCTGGCCGGGGATCGAATTCGTGCTGCAGTGGCTGCCGATAGCTTCACAGGTTTCATCTTAACCCCTTGCGCCACTAGGGAGGCCCAGAATTTCATTCCTTTTAAAGACTGAATAAAATTCCTCTGTGTGTGTCTATGACATTTTTGCTTGACCATTCATCCATTGATATTGGGTTGTTCATACATTTTGGCTCTTGTGATGAATGCTGCTGTGAATATTATACACATAAATCAGTTCAAATTCTTGTTTTCATTCTTCTGTGTGTGTACCCAAAAATGGAACTGCTAGATCATATCGTAATTCCATATTTAATCTTCTGAGGAGCTACCATACTGTCTTCCACCATGCTTGTGCTATTTAAAATTCCCACTAGCAATGTGCAAGGGTTATAATATCTCTACCTCATCTTCAACACTTAATTTTTTTTTGGATTGTTCATTGTTAGTGTATAAAAATGCAGCTTGAAACTTTGATTTGAAACCACTGAGTGTAAAATCATGATTCTGAACTTATATCAGACTTCTGACCTCTAAGACTTTCTGATAATCAATTTTAGGCTATTAAATTTGTGGTAATTTGTGACAGCAACAACAGGAAACTAATACAGCTCACATCTCTTGAACATCAACTGTAGGTTAGGCAAATACTAGGAGCTTATCTTAATCTTGCTAACAATGCTGTAAATTAAACCCATTTTACAGGTGAGGAAGCTCATCCCTGGAAAGTGCTCAAAATCACAATTGGTTATTGGCAGTTTCATGATTTGAAACGTGTTCCATCCATAGCTGTACATAAGATACTGCTATAAAGTATGGGGCATGATTTTAAAAATCAGAGCAGTGTTAGCTCCATTTTACCTTTGGGGGAACTGAGGCTCAGTTCTTGTCTTGTCCAAGGATACAGAGCTGATGAGAGGCTAGTCGAGTCAATGACATTCTTTAAATTTGTCCCCTAACAGGGGCCTCCCCGGTGGCACAGTGGTTGTGTGCTGGGTTGTGAAGCTGCTTGCAGCCTCTGCAGCGCCGGATCGATCCCCGGCCACCAGGCGAGGGTCCCACATGGCGCGCAGACCCACTTTGTCAGTCTGCCTGCTCTGCTCTCCCCTCTGGCTCTGGTGAATTCTCTCACCCTCCCGTGCTTCAGACTGTACCCAGTGCTTGTATAAATAAATAAATCTTAAAAAAAAAAAAAGTTGTCCCTTAACACGAATTCTAATTTTTGACAAATCTTTTTACATATTGGCTTCTGAGTCAATTATGAGCCACAACCATATGGAGGTTTTCTTTTTTAAAATTATCTAACTTAATTGTTTACCTTATTTACAAGGCTTCTCTTTGAGTGGTTCCCAAAGAATTCTGTCACGTTTCTTAAAAACAAAAATCTCACCTTGTATAGCTACATCTTAATTTGGTAAATAAATGCTGTTCACATCACTTTACATACTTCCCCGTGGCTTTTGAATTGTTTCCAAATGCTCTGTCATCGTCATCAAACACACACCAGGACTGTGGTTCTCAATCTTGGTTATGCTTTGGAATCACCCAAAGGGGAACTTAAAAATGCTGAGGCCTGAGTTCGCCCTCAGAAAGTCTGATTTCACTGGTCTGGGAGGCAACCTGGGTACTGCTGGGGAATAGGGGGCTCGTGGGGGGAAGTGAGGACAGTGGGGGCAGTGGTTTAGGCTCGACAAGTGCTTCTAACAAGTCGGAGTCTGGGTTCTAGTTCTGACCATCCTCTCATCAGCTCTGTGTCCTTGGACAAGACGCACAGCTTTTCTGAGCCTCAGTTCCCCCGATGGTAAAGGGAACAATCTCTTCTGTACCGGCTTTATATACTGACCGGGAGGATCGTGCAAGAGTGTGTTTGCAGAAATACTTTGTATACTACGTGTTTTTATTAGGGTTATCAACCATTTTGGCTGTCACTGAACTCACAAATAGCTAAGCTTCTTAAGGGTGGATAAGTCAGGTCATTTTTCTGTTTTATTGGTCTTATTCCCAACCATAGAATTTAATACTGCTCTGTTGTCTCTCCTACCACTGCTTCTTCTTTAAGTCCCCCACCTAGCTCTGCCCTGGGAGTACATGCTCTGCTTAGCATTATTGGATACTCCTTGGCCCCGGGCTCATCTTCTGATCCCTTCTCAGTTGGCTTGTCCAGTGCTCTTGGGGGACCTGCTTGTTGGCTCCTGGGCTGTCCTGGTCTGAACACTTAGCCCACTGGGGTGTCATTCTCAGATATTTTGACCTTTCCCCAGGCTTATGTCCCAAATATTTTTGCCAAGTGTTTCCTTTTTTGTTTCCCCAGAAATTTTATATTTGCTATTTTTCTGCTTTTATATCTGGGGTCAGTGCCATTGCTTGTGATCTCCAGGGCCAGAGGCTGCTGCCAGCATCTACAGAGAGAGCCGGGCTGGGAGTGTTTAGCATTTTCCTCTATAAAAGCCTATCCTTTTACTTCCAGAAGTCATGTGTCATCACAAGCTTGTGGGGTTTGTCACTTTTTAACCCTCAGTTACTCAGGAGCAAAGCTATACTCAGGAAGCCTGGGTGTGGCTCCCTGCTGGTGCACAGAGCTGGCGCCTGAGTCGGGACCCCGCCCCTGTACTTTCTCCCAGCGTCTGTTTGGTGAACCCTGGCCTGGCCAGGGTCTCGTCTAACTCACAGTAAGGTGGGATGTGCCTGGCAGACTTCAGCCTTCTTACCTGAGTGATTTTGGACACATTAAATTTATTCCCAAAGTCTCAGATCCTTTATCTCTGACACCCAAGGTTTGGGGAGAGGATGAAACACTATGTGGGAAGAGTCCTCGCAGCCTCCCTGACTAGCAGGTGATCAGCTGATATTCATTTCCTTCCTACCTCACTGTCTGGGCCTCACTTTCCTCCTTCATCAATTCTGGTCCTTCTAGCTTTAGAATTCTTTGATTTAGCAAACAACTTACCTCTGAGATGAACTTTTATTGGACTAAAAGCTCAGGGCTAGGCAGGCGGGCTTTCTCTCAGAATCTAAATCACCTTAGGTCATGCAAAAACAAGGCAATATAATGTCTGATTTGGATATATCAATCAACTATACAAAAGGACAGCCAGTTCCCTGTGGCTAAAATTGAACGGTGTAACTCAGTCTTCATTCAAGAGGGTACCATAGAGAGTACTGCTTGAGCAGAGAGGCCTTTGAAGGACTGATGTTGTATTTGGGGGGTGGGGACAAGGTCCCAGTTCAAAAACTATAGTTTAAAACCTATCAAAAGAAGGCAATGCAGGCCTCCCTGGTGGTGCAGGTGGTTGAGCGCCGCACGGTGAAGCTGTCTGCAGCCTCTGCAGCGTGGGCTCTATCCTGGCTGGCTGGAGAGAAACCACTGTTGCTCCCCTCAGCAGTGTATTTTGTCAGTCTGCCTGTTCTGTTCCCCACTCTGTCTCTGGTGAATCCTCTCACCCTCCCACACATCTGGCCTGTACCCTGGTTCTTGTATAAACAAACAAATAAATAAATAAATAAATCTTTAAAAAATAAAAGCAAAATTCAAACAAAACAAAACAAAACAAGAAGGCAATGCAATGGGCAGAAATGAATCTAAGATTTCCTTCCCCTCACAAAATCACTGAACTTTCTGTGCCAAACAAATTCGCATTGTGTTCAGGTCTTAAACTGACAACTCAAGTTGTCAAAATCCCAGCTCTGACTGGATGTGTCTTGGGAAAATTCTAAGCCTTTCCCAGTTTGTTTCTTTAATTTTAAAATGGAATAATTTTATAGGCCTATGTTATAGGGTGGTTGAAAGGATCAAATGAGATAAGTACCATAGCGCTTAACACTTTGTTTGGCACAAAATAAGTACTTACGAAATGACACCATCATCATCGTCATCACCATAACCATCAACACTGCCGTCATCACTATTATGAATGCTTGCACAGAGGGCCAAGCCTGGCGGAGCCCCAGCGGGTAGGCAGAGCCCAGCATCTGAAGGGAGCTTTGGTGCTGATACACCCAACCCAAAAGATCAGAGAAGGGACAATGGGTCCTCTGCCATGTTCTTATTCTAAATTAATACTGGAAGTTACATTCTTGTTGACTATTTCTGGGCCCCTAACACTTGCAAGGTGCATGAAGTCTGGTCACCCTCGCTACTGGGTAGACCCGCTACTGGGTAGCAACGTTGGCTCAACAAAATGGAGTTTTCACAGAAATTCCCCCCAGAGCCCTCTGGGCTCACCATAGGATGGAGGAAGTTTACAGAAAAACACATCATTACCCCGCTCCCCATTCACAGTCACACACAAGATCTTATTCAGTGTTCCAAACAAACTATGAGATGGGCAGCACTTTTATGACTTCCAGTGAAGATGAAGAAAACAAGTGGCAATAAAGGGAACTCACGTCTCCGGGCTGCGGCCATCGGTAGTAAGGAGGTGGGCCCAGGCCACTGAGCTTCAGCGTGTATTTTCCTGCTCCTTTCACCCGGCCTTTGAAATCCAGACACATGCTTTCAATGACTTACATTGTGTTCTATACATAATTTGGGGGGAATTTCTTTCTGAACCCTGATTTCATACATAATTTGGGGGGATTTCTTTCTGAACCCTGATTTCATTTCTGTGCAGAATAAAGGACAGATAGAGTGACAGGGAGCAGAAGGCAAGATGGAGATGCTACTTAGTTAAGATTCATCTCTGGACTATAGGGTGACTCCTGAGAGCTTGGAAGAGTTCTGAGGTGTCTGGTCCCAGGGGTGGGGGCGGGGGAGATGTGCACCCACCAGAGATCGTGTCCACTTCTAGGAGCTGACAGAATCATTCTGCCTGGGGGGCATCGCAGGCTGGAAGAGTCACACCCCTAGTTGTGTTAGACATTCCCAGAGACTTTGAGATAAGGGCACCGTGGATGCAAAGTGACTCTGGATGCCTCATTGTGGTTTTCTTTGCTTCTGAGTCTGAAGCGTTATTGATGCTTCAGCATTCATCCCCGAGCTCGCTCAGTGGACTGCAACTAGTGGAATTTTCCTTCTAGAGATTTCTTCTCTTTCTCATCTTTAGGGAGATTGTTGCTTCAGTGCAGATTTGTAAACTTTTTTTCTGTAAAGGGCTAGAGAGCAAATATTTTAGACTTTGCAGGCCCTGTGGTCTCGGTTGCAACTACTTAGCCCTGCAACAGGTATAGACAAGACCCAAGTGAGTGGACAGGACTGTGTTCCACCAAAACTTTACAGAAAATGTCAGCAGGCTGAAGTTGACCTGTGGGTTATAGTCTCTAGTGACCTCTGCCTTAGTACCATCGGTCAGGCCGACTCCAACCTTTTCATGCATTGACAGATTCCCTAATCCCCTACTAATGTCTCACGGAGTAAGGCTCAGGACTCTTGTGGCTAATACAAGGCGAACTCAACACTGATGGAAAGTGCCTCATGATTTCCAATGCTAAAGGCTTCGCTCTGAAGCCTGTTTTTTCTTTCTTTTTCACTCACCTCCTTATGCAGAGTCGGAAGAAGACTTCAGGTCCAGGGAGTCTAATGGCAGAACCTCACGGGTGAGGAGTCCCTGATTTCCAAACAACTCCACCCCAGTTCCTGGCTCTCCTTTCCTCTGAGTAATGGGGAGACCATTTGGGGCTGGCATGATTCTGCTTTCTTTGAAGCCATCTGATGAAACTGATTTCACCAACTACTAGCTCTCAGGAGGAATGTGGTGTGTCACAAGCTGAATGGGCTAATTTTATGGGATGAGGGGGACTCTTTGGAGGAATCTACCTAACATATTTTGTAGAAAAATTATCTGAAGCACGAGGAAAGGGAAGTTGGCTATCTGCCAGGCCCCCACCTACCATTAGGGTATAAAAGGACCATGGAAGAAAGAGAGACTCAAACCTCACCCGCATCTACCTCTCTCAGCTTAACTGCCCTTCTAGTCCCATCCCAGCACCATGTCTTACTCCTGCTGCCGCTCCAGCTTGAGCTGCCACTCCAGCTGTGCCTCCCGGCCTTGCGTGCCCCCCAGCTGCCATGGCTGCACCCTGCCCGGGGCCTGCAACATTCCCGCCAATGTGGGCAGCTGCAGCTGGCTCTGCGAGGGCTCCTTCAACGGCAACGAGAAGGAGACCATGCAGTTCCTGAACGACCGCCTGGCCAGCTACCTGGAGAAGGTGCGCCAGCTGGAGCGGGATAACGCCGAGCTGGAGGGCCGCATCCAGGAGTACTGCCAGCAGCAGGTGCCCTACGTGTGCCCCAACTACCAGTCCTACTTCCGCACCATCGAGGAGCTGCAGCAGAAGGTGAGGGCGCGGGCCAGGTGAGGTCACAGAAGTTGCTGGCTTGGTTCGCAAGTTCAAGTGGTCCTCACAGTAGAGTCTTGTTTTCAGATCCTGTGTGCCAAGTCTGAGAACAGCAGGCTGGTGGTGCAGATCGACAATGCCAAGCTGGCCTCTGATGACTTCAGGACCAAGTATGTTGAGATATTTGGGTCAGGTGACCTCCGAGGCCCCTCTGGTTCTATCACGGCCTTTTGGAAGAGAGAGAAAGTTACCTCCCACTTTTCATATGTCCTGTGCAGGCTGGCTATGTCCAATCAGGTTTAAACAGAGGTTTACACTCTTGCAGTTTTGTGCTTTCTGAAAGGCCTTAAGCCTCCAAACTCAAGAGATTTAGTCTGCCTCCAGCCGTCAAGCCAACTCCAACCTCCCGTGCACTGACAGATTCCCTAGTCCCCAGCTAATGTCTCACTGAATAAGCCTCAGGCCCTTGCCCCAAATACAGGGTGAACACAATGCTGAAGAGGCAAGCAGAGCGGGGAGAAGACTCTTGGGCGATAGACTGATTTGGGGGTAGATTAACCAACACAACTGAGAGGAGACAAAAGACTCCAACTCCTGATTTCCCCGGGTCCCTTCTGGTTCTGGGGCGCACCAGGGTTCTCTCCGGCCTGCCCATGCAGAGCTTCGGGAAACCATGAAGAGAAGCTAAAAGCACGTAGTCCAGAGAGCCCGGCCGACCATATCCACATGCGGGATGGGGCACGGGATGGGGCGCGGGATGGATCTGACTCTCCCTTCCTCTCAGGTACCAGACAGAGCACTCCCTGCGCCAGCTGGTGGAGTCAGACATCAACAGCCTGCGCAGGATCCTGGATGAGCTGACCCTGTGCAAGTCTGACCTGGAGGCCCAGGTGGAGTCCCTGAGGGAGGAGCTGCTGTGTCTCAAGAAGAACCACGAGGAGGTGAGTGAAAAAGAAAGAAAAAACAGGCTTCAGAGCGAAGCCTTTAGCGTTGGGAATCACAAGGCACTTTCCATCAGGCTCCCTGGCTTGGGACCCTGCTTTGGAGAACTTAAGTGAGCCCAGAGCTCTGTCCGATGCTCTAGTTGCATCTGGAAGCGAGGTGGGCCGCTAATTGTCAAGCTGCTGGGTGAGGATTGAGCAGGTTTTAGAGACACTGAGGAGGGCAGAGGGATGTCTATTTACCGAGCCCTGCTCTCTGCTAGTCACTTTAAGTTCCTGGATTTGGTGATAGGGATGGAGGGGGAAAGAGATGACAGTCTGCATGCAAAGACAGCTACACCACAATAGGGACAGGGCAATAAATCCCAGGTGACATGCAGGACAGCATGCTCGGGGAACAATCCAGAAGGAGAGAGGGAACGACACAGGGGCATGTCATGGGAAGGAGGAGGGTATTAACACTTGCATGTACCAATCTGAGGGTGGAGGCTAAGCAGAGCCTCAGCAGGGCAGCGAGGGTGCATAGGACTACTGCCTCCCTACTGGCATGGCGGGGCAGACATAACCTACAGGGATGATGTGAAATGAGGTGCAACCTGCAGGTGCAAGGAACTGGGGCCCTTATTGGAAAAACAAATTTGTTTCAGTTTTGTGGGAAAGAATTTGGTGTGATCCCTATGGGGCTATTCCCCACAACGTCTGGGTCTGCCCTGGGAATGATCAGATACTCCTTTGCGGCATTACGGGCAGGGTTGTGATCTTTTCCCTACAGCAGGAAGATAGCACATCCATTTCTGTGGGTTCATTTCTTCTTCTTCCTCCTGCAGGAGGTCAACACCCTGCGTTCTCAGATTGGAGACCGCCTCAATGTGGAGGTGGACTCCGCGCCCACCGTGGACCTGAACAGCGTGCTCAACGAGACCAGGAGCCAGTACGAAGCCCTGGTGGAGAACAACCGCAGGGATGTGGAGGAGTGGTTCAACACCCAGGTGGGCCTCTCAGCCCTGGACATGTGGGAACCCAACCCTGGGGGCCCTGCAGGTGGGGTCTGACCCCAGAAATCCCCTTTGCTGTTGCAGACCGAGGAGCTGAACAAGCAGGTGGTGTCGAGCTCCGAGCAGCTGCAGACGTGCCAGGCGGAGATCATCGAGCTGAGACGCACGGTCAACGCCCTGGAGATCGAGCTGCAGGCCCAGCACAACCTGGTGGGTGTTAGCAGTCCCTGCCAGGAAGTGGGAAGTCAGGCTATGGGTGTCAGTGGGATGCCTTTCAGGCCACCCTATCCTTCCTAACTCTAGCAGCTTGTGGTGTCTTTGAAAGCCTTTGGGAGAAGCCCCTTCAGGAGCAGATGTGACATTGCTGTGAACAGCAGATAAAGTGGCTGTTCTTTATTTTTCCCACACAGAGGAACTCCCTGGAGAACACTCTGACTGAGACCGAGAGCCGCTACAGCTCCCAGCTGTCCCAGATGCAGTGCATGATCACCAACGTGGAGTCCCAGCTGTCTGAGATCAGGAGTGACCTGGAGCGGCAGAACCAGGAGTACCAGGTGCTGCTGGATGTGCGTGCCCGGCTGGAGAGTGAGATCAACACCTACCGGAGCCTGCTGGAGAGCGAGGATTGCAAGTGAGTAGGACGCCAAGGTCTCTGGGTGAGCGTGGTGGGACCACCAGGCACCAGGCACCAGGAACATACAAGTTGGCCCTATTTTCCATCACCGGTCAGCACACATCGCCGCAGATTCTGCTCTGACAGTTATGCCAATGTGGAAAGCACAGGAAGGGCACAGCCCCTGCCTCAGAGTGACAGTGCGGAAGGGTGGTGGGCGATAGTGACTCAGCAGTTGCTATTGGGTGAGGCAGATAGTGCCAGGTTCCAAGAGAGCTGAGCAGCATGAGGTAACATTTTCAAGAGCAGTTTTCTGTCTGTCCATCTGGGCCAGGGGAGGGCTTGGGGAACAATCCAAGGTGACTGCAGCTAAACCAACTGAGAATTCACAGGTTGTGTGATCCAGCCCCTTAGGGCTTCTTCCCCTCCTCTCTCTGATCCATTCTAAACCCCTGTGTCCCTACAGCCTTCCCAGCAACCCCTGTGCCACCACCAATGCCAGCGGCATCTCCTGCGGACCCTGTGGCAGCTCCTGTGGGCCCTGTGTCAGCGCCCCACGGAGTTGCTGCTAAATAAAAACTTGCATCCTCTTTGAAGACGTTAATGAAGCCATTTAGATCATTCATAGAAGAGGTTCCCAGTCCTGCCTTTGCTGGAGTTCATTTATCATTTAGAAATCTTGTCATTCCACCATGATATTTCTAGATCTAGATGAGCCTTTCAGATCCAACAAGCAAAGGCATATACCAAGGACTTGGTATGTCTGGTGACTTCCTCCTGGTGAAGGCTGACTGTTTCTGAAGTTGGTCAGCTCCCAGTAATCTCAGCTCCAGCTGCTACTTCAGGGTGTTTCCTGATGGGATTGTGTTTCCTGCTTTCTTTGCCTCTTTGGTATTCTTTGGAATGCAAAGAGGCTACTTCATTAACTTCCCAATAAACTTTATTTTCCTGGCATAGTAAATGTGTTTCTCATTCATATTCATGCATTGTAAAGTACTTGTCATGGCTGTCTCATGAAAACAACCCCTCATTAGGAGGATGAATTAGGTCAAATGACCTCTAGTCATTGTAGTCCCCCGGTAAATTCGGATGGAGTCAGAGGAATGTCCTCCTGGGGACCTCCCAGTCCCATCAAAGGAGTCTGGGAGAAAACCTGGGCTTCAACATTAATGACCATCTTACCATGGTGCAGGGCCTTCAACAATTTTGAGAGTCCACTTTCAACTTCACTGCCATCTTCATGGTCATCCTCATCACTGGATTTTTCTGTTCCCTTTTTCCTATATGGCCCAGAGACCAGCTTCTGCAGAGACTGCTTAAAGAGCAGCCACCCTCTCCTCTCAACCTATTGGCTGCGCCTGCATTTCCAGTAGGGTTACCTGCTCTCTTACAAAATTCACTTTTTTTGATCTCCTTGGCCAGAACATTGGGTCCTCTGGATGTACCTCGGACTACCCATTCTATGTCTCCTGATTAGTCGACCTGCCCCTTTCTGTCCAAAATAGATGAATGCCTAACTCCTCAAAGCAGGGCAGATGAAGCCAAAAGATTCCCGGGTGTCTAAAGCACCTCTGGCAGAACCACAAGAAAGGATTTAGGCAGGTCCCAGAGAACTGGGACTGAGGGAGACCCAAAATTAAAAATGTATCATACAATCCACCATGAGTCAAGATGATGGCTGCATTATCTGCCAAAACACTAAACCACTGGGACCAAGGACCAGGAGTGGCCTCATTGCATGTCTCTTGTTCTGCTCTGCCACACCTCTAATATATACATATATCTGCAGTGCTCCTTCCTCCTTCCAGATGCCCCCTGTAGGGTAAGGTAAAAAAGTATGAGGCTTTTCTGCCCTCCTGCCATTAGGATTGATGATGGATCCCTGTGGTCCTGAATGCATGCCTGATGGCGGGCACCTGGAGTAGGGAGTGGGCATGAATAAGTGGGTACACCTGAGCTAAGACTTTGCTTATAAGGGTGGCGTCAGGGGATGCCAGCAGAAGGAGAACCACAAGAGAAGCAGAAAGCAGAAGCAAGAGCAGAGAGCAGAGACCATGATAGAGTGAAGAGCCAAGACAGAGTGAAGACTTGCTGGGGGCCCGGGAGGCCTACCAGCCTCCCGGGCCCCCAGCACCCCTGCCTGCCGTGTGCCTGGTAAATCCCAATAAAAGCCTGCAAAAGCCACTGAGGGCTCTAGACTCTCCTCCTTTACCCCGTCTGCTTGGATCAGTGAGATCCTGCTCCGTGTCCTGTCCTGTCCCTACACCCCCGTTCTGGGAATCTGATTCAAGGCCTCTGATGTTGGTGACATGGAAGTAGGGGCAGGGAAAATGGCACCTGTTCCCATGTTGATGTTCCCATGGGAGGCACCACATCCATGGTGATGTGTTGAGCAACCTTGAGATGCATTCTGTAATAGTATCAGGCCACCTCATCACATTCACTTGCCTGAAAGTTAGTTTTGTGGAACTGGTAGTCTTGTTACCCACTGTTTTACCCAACACTTTGTACAAAGGCCCTTTAAATGCAGGGAGCTGTCTCTCCTTACCTTCTCCTCCTTCAAGTTTAATCTTTCCTCTAGGTCTTTGCTCATATTGATCAAGTTCTTCCGAGTCTCTTCATCATTTCATTTCCTGTTAGTCCAAGAAAGGCCAAAGCACATTAAGTCTGCCAATAATAAGCATGAATCCTATCCCACCCACCACCAACTTGCATCATTTCTGAATTTTATAACTCCCAATTCTATAGGCCACTAACTCACTTACTCCTTCAATTTGACTCTATTTGACACAACTGCATTCAATCATCTATTGTGTGTGCTGGTACTGTGCGAGTGGTGGGGACAAACAAATAAGTAAATCCTGTCCTGACACATGTTTGCAGTCTAGACTGGTTGAGACAAAGAAAGAATCTTCATAAAGCTAAGCATCAATATGGAGCACATAAAGATAAGCATAAAGAATGAAGAATATTGGATGTGTGAGAGAGTGATGAGAAAGGGAACCAAGAAGGAGCCAGCCCTGGATCTGGGATTTATAAAATATCTCTCTTCCTGCCTTATCGACTATCGGCCCTTCAAAAAAACATAGTATCTTTACCAAATTTAAGCTTCATGTAAAGCATAGAATACTATATGAGGAATAAATAAGGAACAGTGACACTAATGAGGATTCATGAGGTTATTAAAACTTTATATACTTCCCATAGTTCCAACTTCAATCAACTATGACTGTATGATGTTATCATAATTCTGAAAAAAAGCTTGATGGGATGTGTTTGGACAATTGAATGTGTATAGGTCTGAGAGGACGGAAAGTTTTCCCAAGCATAAACTTTGGCAGGGAAGAAGACCAGGAAGCAGGAGATGTGTTTGAAACTGACAGACCGATTCCCAGCCTGGAGCAGAGGTTAAATATGCTAGTGGTGGAAGATGAAACTGCAAAAATAGTTTGGAGTTGTAAGGAAGTGCTTTGTAAGGAAGGTTGCCATGTCCGTGATCAGGCACTCATGTCCATCAGACACTCATGATATCAGAGCTATCATGTACAGGCTGGGTTGTGATGGGTCCAGGAAGTTGGTCAAGATGGATGGGAAGAAGGAAGATCAATTAGGGAGCTATGAGAGAGAACAAAGTCTGAGATAAGTGGAGGTGAGGGCATAAGCCAAGTGTGGGTGGATTTCAGAGGGGCAGTCTTGGTTATGAACATGGATTGGAGTTGAGGAACAAAAAGAGAGAAGGAAGAAACTGGTACTGATGCAATACCTGCTTTGGGTCAACACGGGTCTCAAGGTGTTGACTCTGAGAAAATGAAACAATAGTGGTTCTCCCTTGAAGAGAGTTGGGAGAGATGTTGTGGAATTACCTGGATAGTAATAGTTGTAGAGATTGATCGAGGAGCAGATGTTGCAGCAACATGGATAAGGGATCATTAAGTTGGTAATAGCAGGAGTTAAATTGAATAACTTGTCTATGTAGTTGTTGAGAGTTGTATGAAGAGTTGGAAGAACTTTGGGAACCACTGGAGGAGATGACAGAATGAGGCTCCAGCTTGGTTTTTCCCAGTTTCCACGAACAGAGAAGACATTTATTCATCAGTAGATGGAAAAGGAAGGAGAGAAGCAACTGAAATGACACAGAAGTCAAAAGATCAGAATTCAGTGAGGGAGATTTCAATTCAACAAATCCACTGGATAGTGTGATGTGGAGCTCCCAGGCCCTCACTGGAACTGGGTCTGTAGGAACAGAGGAAGAAGCTCTATTTTAGTGGCTCTTTCACAACTGTCTCAAATCTCCAGCTTGACAGTGAACTTAATGCAAAGGTACAATAGAACATGTTCCAACTATGGAAGAATGCTACGTCCTATTGTCTGTGTATTGCTAAAGGTATTTAGCATCCACTTGTCACTTTGATCTGCAGATTAGTCACATGAATAGGTTTTCATTCCTTTCTGAGTGATGCCTGGATCCAGCTTTCTCAGAAGACTAGGATCATGAAATTATATTGTCCAGGATTGTTTCAAGTTTTTTTTTGACTCCACTATTCTAGACGGTGTGGAGTTAAATATGTGCTCATGAAACTTGTATTTTTCTGACTTGATTTGACTGGAACCCATCCCCATTGGTGGACAAGGATCGAGTTTATACAAGAGAATCAGTGGTGACTCTTGAGAGGTTTTATTGAATGACTCCTGAATCCCATTTTGAGATGTCTGTTCCTACTCAGTCAATCTGACTACTGCCTGGTTCATTTCTTGGTTTTCTCCTTGTCCCACACTGGAAACCCTGCCTGAGTATCTCCTCAGAGCTAAATCTGTTGGTTTAGTTCCTGGGATTACCATCCCAAACTCTACCTTCAACGTAGTGAGGCCAACTGCTTGATGAACTGGCAGCCTGTGGAAGGTCTATGTGTCCCATTCTTATAAGCCGCCCTAATGGGCTGACCCAGCATGGTGGTGTTGGTGTTAAATGGTTTGTCTGATTTTCAACTCTCCATCTGTCTTTGGCATAAGTCAGTCTTCTTGGTCTGTGTGAAGTGATGAGACTCTTGGCCTTTCCTTGCTAATTGTACATAATAGAATTAATATATGAGTGGGCCAATATGTTTCTATGTATTTTCCAAAGAACACATTCTACATTTGTCATGGTGAGAATTTCAAGTACCTGGCCATCAGAGAAGATGGTTTGGGCAAGGGAGAGGGAGGCCTCCCAAGTCCTTAAAATCCTCACAGCAGACCTTCTCCATGGTTAAGTGCTTCTGGTGAGTTTGCGTATCATCTCTACCATGGAAAAAAACTTGGTTTTCAATAATAACTAACATCCTTGAACCTCAATGATAATTTGTTCACATCTTAAGGCAAGAAGCCTTATTACTGCGTCTGCCACAATTACATAGGCAGGTGTTAGCCTTTCTGCTTGTTAGGATTTGATTTGCTCATCATCTTTATTTAAGGTTCATTGACTAGAGACAATATCCTTGCTTATGTAAAGGGAAGAATTCATAGTACATAATAAGTAGAATAAATGAACCACAATTGCTTTCTAGAATTCCTGGAAAGTTAATTGAGACTTGACTCTTTTCTCAATAGACCTATGAGAGGACCTGTAGTCCTCTCAACCATCATCATCCAGATATGGGAACAGTATCTCTAGTCAAGCTATGATCATTGTTACTGCTACTCAAGATGTGGGCACAGTTAAAAGTTATCTAAACACTGCCCTCCACTTTTGAGGAGAGGATACTTACCTTGGGGTTTTCCCATCCCTATTGCATTATGATTATGTGGCCCTCCGAGGCCATATTGACCAGTGTACCTCAAAGTATTCCTTTCCAAATTCTTTAAAAAAGTTTCATTGTCTAGATTATTCTTTGAAGCTTGGGCATAGAAGGGCAGAAAGAGAAAAGTTGATGAATCTAGTTTTTGTTTTATGATATTTTGTCTCATCTGATAGGACTTTAAATCAGTTTGGAACTGATTTGAAACCAACACAGCCATTCTTCATCTCTCAAATCCAAAGGGCCAGGCAGGAGGGGCAGAGTTGTGAACTGTGCACACGGGTGAGGATGTCAGCACTTCAGGGACATCACACATTTATTCCAAAGCTGCTGTCTTTAATGAAAGCTTATTTGAAGCTCCACCTTGGCAATGAATTTCAGAGTTGTCTGAGTAAATGGGCATTGATAGTCTATAGTCATAGTGTGTCACTAACCCAGGAAAGAACCTACTCAGCTTGGTGGTTCATTCCACACACTAGTTTCAAATGATTGCTGCTGGTTCCAAAATTAACACTCTCAGAAGATGAATATTTGTGTTCATGAGGATAACCAAGAGGAAAGTACCCCAGGCCATGAGCACAAAACTGCAAAAGGGGGATCTAAGAATAGGGGCTATATGGGAGGTATAGGCACGTGGCTTCTAGCATCTTTCCAGCATCTTTTCTCAGGAGGCCTGAGAGGTTGCACGCCAGATCTCATAGTTCCCGATGGTCTGGAATGGCACAGGCAGACCAAAAGTGCCGACGGTCCTGAATGGCTGTAAGCACGCCATCATTGGATTGGTGACTTTTAGGGTCATAGCCCATGCGGAACGGGGCTCAGTTGTTTCTATGTCAAATGAACCTTGGTTCTCTTGCTCCCCAGCTTACATATTGTCCTTTCCACTGAGTAGGTGTCCTTCCATTAGAATAGAAATGACCCATCGCTTGGCCTTCTACCCTACCTAGAGAACAGGTTTGCTATTTCGTGGCCTGTGCCAATCCCAGACAGGAGGTTGTGTGCGAGCAGTTGAGTCCTATGAATCTCAATCCACTTGTGCATGATTGCACTCCAGGCCTGAGATGGTTGGAAGAGGGGGGAGCAGAGTGATGGGGAGCGAGAAGTTGTTGGAATTGGCAAGATCAGGGCCTGAGGCTTGGTGCTTCATCCACATACCCTGCAGTGTTTTGTTATCTTTAAAGATTTATTTTATTTATTTATGCACACAAGAGGTAGGGTGTAGGCCAGAGTTGCGAGCAGTGAGAAGATTCACAAGAGACAGAGTGGGGAGCAAACAGGTGGATCTACTGAAATACACTGCAAAGGGGAGTAGCAGGTGGGTAGAGGAGAGATCGGCTGTGCCATGTGGGTAGCTCCCTGACCAGGGCTCTAACTTGTGCTGTAGTGGCTGCAGATAGCTTCATAACACTGCATCTTAACCCCATGTGCCACCAGGAAGGTCCCCTATATCCACTGCAGGATTGGGTGAGGAGTGAGGAGATCATGCATGTCAGGCACTTAGCACATGGTACCTGGTAAGCAGGAGCCTTCCCGGTACGGCTTACCTGCTGTGTGTGCCTCACGCAGAGTAGGTTCTCCCAAGTGAATGCTCTGTGAACACTGAATAAAAGCAGAATGGCATCTGGAAGTTTCCTGCAGCCTTTTGGGAAGAGGGCAGAATTGCTGCCTCCTGGCCTGGATGGCAAAGGACATTTGCTGGATGACCTTGCAAGTCCTATGTCCACCTCTTCCAGGGCCCGTGAATACCCTGATTTCCAGGTGCACTTCCTTGGGTGGCTTTCCTCACTGAGGATGTGCTGGGGAGGTTTAGACCCTTTCTCATTTAGAAGAGAGAGGACAGAAGTATCCCCAAATCTGGGGGACAGTTTTCACCCTAACACAATGCCTGTGAATAAGCACTGCTGTTGGCAAGGAAACGGATTGGTCACCTTGAAGCCAAACCATGAAGATCTTACTTAGCCAACTGGCATGATTGGTCATGAGTCCTGACTTAGCAAGAAGTAGAGTAAAAGATTTTATGAGGTAAAGGACTCATGGGAGTCAGCTAAATAACAAGTGGAAAAATAGGTAAAGAGGAGAAAAGGTGGTAATTCTTTTTGTGTGCAGTTGTCACACCCACTGTGGCAGAATATAAAGGCCTGGAGAGGACCAGGGCTGGTATCAGAGTGAAGGAACCAGGTTTGGAATCTCACCTACACAGCCTGCTCCCTGCTAGCACCATGTCTTACTCCTGCTTCCGTTCCAGCATGAGTTGCCGCTCCAGCTGCAGCTCCCGGCCCTGCGTGCCCCCCAGCTGCCACTCCAGCTGTACCCTGCCCGGGGCCAACATCCATGCCACCGTGTGCAGCGGCGGCGCCTTCAACGGCAACGAGAAGGAGACCATGCAGTTCCTGAACGACCGCCTGGCCAGCTACCTGGAGAAGGTGCGCCAGCTGGAGCGGGAGAACGCCGAGCTGGAGAGCCGCATCCAGGCGCACTCTCAGCAGCAGGTGCCCTACATGAGCCCCAACTACCAGTCCTACTTCCACACCATCGAGGAGCTCCAGCAGAAGGTGAGGAGGGTGCAGGTGCCACGTGCGTCATGCTGGACTAGTTCTTCCAATTGAACATAGAGAAATCGGAATGGATGTAAGGCTGCAGAAAGCTAATGTTGAGAGTGGTAAGGGCACAGAAATCACTGGCTTGGATGCAACAGATCTAGTGGTCATGGAAAAGGTACTTGGGAGGCCCCACGAGGGCAGGATACAGACTGGGCATAGGGTCAGGCCTTAGAACAACCTGTCACGCAATCTTACAACCTATTTGAGTCTTCAGTTCTATTATGATATCCTGCTTCTGTTTTCAGACGCACATGATTTATTTCTTACAGTTAGAATTTTCCTGAGTTAATCCTCAAATATTCAAAGATTTTCAATACTTTGGCAAGAGACTGTGTGTACTGGAAAGCAAAAGAGCTACTGACTTTGGAAGCCTCACTAATGTGCATGGACACAGGTACACCCACTGTGCAGGCGGCCAGGCAGGTGGGACTTCAGGGCCAGATGCGCAGATGCAGAAGCAGCAATAAGCAAAGAGCCAGCACGGCATAGGTCAGGGAGGGCTTCCCAGAAAAGGCAATATCTGATCAAGGTCAGAAGAAGGCACAGGAGTTTACATCCAATTGCACAGTTTACATCCCTGGACTCTCTGAGGGGACGGACTGAGCACAGGCCTGTGTTTCTGGTCAAATGAGTGCCAGCAGGGCCACGGCATTTGAACAAGAGGCAGTCATTCGCCCACCTTTATCAAGTGCCAGACTCAGTGGAGACTCAGGAACAAGGGATGAGTACCGAGTAGGTCTCATTCTGTGGAAGTTCACAGTCTAATGTGGAGAGAAATGTGGGAACAAATGGCCAGAGGGAAGGTGTTAAGCACTGGAACCCGTGACGTGTGAAGCATGTTGGAACATGTGGAGGAATCACAGGAGTCAGGAGGGGTCGGAAGGGGGTTATGCTAGGGGTCTTGTGGTGGGTGAGGGTGTCCAGGGCATTCCAGGTGGCGAGAGCAGTGCAGTGCAAAAGCAGGCACAAGGGCACCAGGAGGGAGAGTGCAGAGGTCAGCAGGGCTGGAATGAAGGTGGTGTGAGATGGGGCAACCAGTGTGCCCTGGTTTGCCAGCAAATTTTCTGGGTTTAGCACCCTAGGTGCCCCCTAGTTCTCAGCAAACTGGGACCCTAGGTGAAACTTGCTGCCCAGGGTGCTCAGTCACTGCAGGAGCCAGAGACAGACCAACGGAAGAACTCACGACAAAGGCCACATTCTCCCGGACTGGTCTAGCTTTGGAATGGCAGCCCTATAATGGAATCCGCATTTTCTCTCCATCCTGCGAATCTGAGAAGACTCAAGCTATTTGGAAGGGATGTGGCTGAAAGAAAATACCTTGTCATTTTAGGGCACTGGGCATCCTTAGCATGACTTACTTGTTTTCCTTCTGCAGGCTTATATTTTCATATTTATTTATTTTAAAGGTTTTCTAATTGAAGTAACTGCACTATTAATCATGTAAGTTTCAAGTGTTCATTGTTGAGGGTCAGTAAGTGTATAGATGACATTAATATATGCTAAAAGTCCTAGTCTATCCTTCATTATGCCCTTGTTTCCTGATTTACCCACCCCTTCCCTCTTCCCTATGATCATGATTTGGTCTTTTTCAAAAGTATCACTCATCCCATGGTTCCTGTCCCTAGATCCTGTACGGCAAGTCCCAGAATGCCAGGATGGTGGTGCAGATCGACAACGCCAAGCTGGCCGCCGATGACTTCAGGACCAAGTGAGAACTTAGAGCTGCCAGAGCAAGCCAGACATGCACAGGCCAATTGCGAAGGGATGGACTCTGTCCTGGAGGCTGCACGCAGAAGCTGCCTGGGGTGGCCTTAGGAGGAAGCTTGATTTGGGTTCCTCAGGTTAAAAGTCAGTCTCACTGATGCAAGAATTCTATGTTTTCAGTTTAGTTTCAGGGAGTGTAAGAAACACCCATTCTTTTTCTTTTTCAACTGAATGTTTGGATTAAGTCAAAATGAATTTCATACACGTGTCTATGTCACACCAGCCCATCAGAAAAAAGTTACTAAACCTCAAAAACAGGAGGCAAAATCCATTTTGGGGAACCAACTCTTCTCGGTTCGGCTATGACACTCCACAGAATCCTATGCTTTTTTATGAGCCTTTGTAGTTTACAATGGGATTTTCCCGATGTTGTATCTTTGTCTTCAGGATGATTCAATAAAGCATTAGTTGGGTCCCCAATTTACGGATCAGGAAACCCAGGCTGAGGGACGTCAGGGAATTGCTCCGCAGTCCAGTGGCTGAATCTGAGTGACGTCTGACTCAGTGCTCTACGCCCAGCACTAGGTGCTTCAGGGCGAGTGGGCAGACGAGATTTCTCAGACAGACAAGATGATGGGGCTTAGTTGATGCTGACCTTGAATGGGCTTCTTTACAGCGCAGTTAATACTGGATTGAGAGTAAGCAGAGGCACCCACCAAGGCCCTCCTGTGGTTGTCACGGAGAAAGTAGTTTGTTTTTTTTTTTTTTAACCGTTTCCCCTTTCAAAACACTAAAAGTTTCAAAATACAAAGAATTTGACTTGGTCAGTCAAGTTCAGGGAAAACACTCTTCCTCTATGACCTCTTTTGACCTTTGCGTGAAGGTATCAGACGGAGCTGGGCCTGAGGCAGCTGGTGGAGTCGGACCTCAATGGGCTGCGCAGGATCCTTGATGATCTGACTCTGTGCACGTCTGACCTGGAGACCCAGGTGGAGTCCCTGAAGGAGGAGCTGCTGAGCCTCAAGCAGAACCACGAGCAGGTGAGCGATTTCCAGCCTTCAGTCCCCTAGTATTGACAGTTCCATTCACTCCCCCCCCTCCACAGTGGGATAAGGTAAGTGCTGCTAAGCACCAAAGAGCTAATATGATATTTTTCTGGTTATAAAGCAGTATGGCCAGTGGATCTATTTCTACTTGGGGTCATCGGTGTGCCTATTGTCACACAAAGTTCTTTAAACTACTTTCTACCAGTGGGTGGGATCTATTATACTGAGATCATATGACAGGAAGGTTACCAAGCTTGGACAGAGGCAGCCAACTTCTCTGTAATGTGTGTCACCTAGATAACATTACCCAAGCTGGCTGGCTGGCTGGCTGCATGGGAAGGTGGGAAAATTGAAGGAACTCAAACAATAGTTGGTTTGGACCTCATGGCTGAATGTATAATAAGAAATCAATTCAGTTCTCCAGCATGGGATCTTTTGATGAACAGGAAACACCCCTCAGCACTGTGTGAAAGCAGATCACACAGAAGAAAGAGTGGACTTAAACTATGTTGACTCTGGAATAGCAAGACACACTAGCAAAGGTCTAATCCTCCAGCTTATATAGATGAAGAAAGAGACTCAGACAGGAAGTCTGAATCACAAGATGTAACTTAGTTGGGCTTTACATGAACTGGGCCTTCAGCTCAAGTTTCTTAAACTCTAATGCAATTCTCATTCCACTACAGTGAACTCTCTCAGGAAGAGTTAATTCATAGACTTCTTCCTGTGGGTTCATTCCTTCTTCTTCCTCTTGCAGGAGGTCAACAGCCTGAATTCCCAGATTGGAGACCGCCTCAATGTGGAGGTGGATGCTGCCCCCAACGTGGACCTGAACAGCGTGCTCAATGAGACCAGGAGCCAGTACGAAGCCCTGGTGGAGAACAACCGCAGGGATGTGGAGCAGTGGTTTGCCACCCAGGTGGGTCTCTCAGCCCTGGACATGTGGGAACCAGGTACTGGAGACCTGCAGGTGGGGTCTGACCCCGGGTGTCCCCTTTGCTGTTGCAGACCGAGGAGCTGAACAAGCAGGTGGCGTCAAGCTCCCAGCAGGTGCAGACGTGCCAGGGTGAGATCATGGAGCTGAAACGCACGGTCAACGCCCTGGAGATTGAGCTGCAGGTCCAGCACAAGCTGGTGGGTATTGTAAACCCCCGATGGGAAGTTGGAAAACGAGTATCAGCGGGATGCCCTTTGGGCCACTCTGTCCCTCCTCACGCTAGCAGCTTGTGGTGTCTTGTCAAGCCTCTGGAAGAAGCTCCTACAGGAGTGACTATGAGACATTCTCTATTCCCCACAGAGGAACGGCCTGGAGAACACCCTCACTGAGACCGAGTCCCGCTACAGCTCCCAGCTGTCCCAGGTGCAGTACATGATCACCAACGTGGAGTCCCAGCTGTCTGAGATCCGGGCTGACCTGGAGCGGCAGAACCAGGAGTACCAGGTGCTGCTGGACGTGCGTGCCCGGCTGGAGAGCGAGATCAGCACCTACCGCGGCCTGCTGGAGAGCGAGGACAGCAAGTGAGTAGGACACCAAGGTCTCTGGGTGAGCGTGGTGGGACCACCAGGCACATATAAGTTCGCCCTATTTTTCTTCACCAGTCAGCACACATCAATGCAGGGTCTGCTCTGACAGTTATGCCAACGTGGAAAGCACAGGAAGGGCACAGCCCCTGCCTCAGAGTGACAGTGGGGAAGGGTGGTGGGCAATGGTGACTCAGCAGTCGCTACTAGGTGAGGCAGATTGTGCCAGGTTCCAAGAGAGCTGAGCAGCGTGAGGTAACATTTTCGAGAGCACAGTTTTCTACAACTTTCCATCTGGGCCAGGGGAGGGCTTGGGGAACAATCGAAGGTGACTGCAGCTAAACCAACTAAGAATTCACAGGTTGTGTGATTCAGCCCCTTAGGGCTTCTTCCCAACCCCTCTCTGATCCATTCTAAACCCCTTTGTCCCCCCAGGCTTCCCAGCAACCCCTGTTCCAGTGGCAACGCCAGCGGTGGCTCCTGCAGACTCGGTGGCATCTCCTGTGGGCCCTGTGGCGGCGCCCCAAAGCGTTGCTGCTAAATAAAAACTTGCATCCTCTTTGAAGATGTTAATGAAGCCATTTAGATCATTCATAGAAGAGGTTCCCAGTCCTGCCTTTGCTGGAGTTCATTTATCATTTAGAAACCTTGTCACTCCACCGTGATATTTCTAGATCTAGATGAGCCTTTCAGATCCAACAAGCAAAAGCATATACCATGGACTTGGCATGTCTGGAAACTTCCTCCTGGTGAAGGCTGACTGCTTCTGAAGTTGGTCAGCTCCCAGTAATCTCAGCTCCAGCTGCTGCTTCCAGGTGTTTCTTGACGGGATTGTGTTTCCTGCTTTCCTTACCTCTTTGGTATTCTTTGGAATGCAAAGAGGCTACTTCATTAACTTCCCAATAAACTTTATTTTTCTGGCATAGTCAATGTGTTTCTCATTCATATTCATGCATTGTAAAGTACTGTCATGGCTGTTTCATGAAAACAACTCCTCATTAGGAGGATGAATTAGGTCAAATAACTGACCTCTGTCATTATGTTCCCTTGGTAAATTCTTTTTTTTTTTCTCAAAGATTTATTTATTTATGCATACAAGAGCTGGGGTACAGGCCAGAGGTGCGGGGGTGAGAGGATTCACCAGAGACAGAGTGGGGAACAGAACAGGCAGACTGACTGAAATACACTGCTGAGGGGAGTAGTGGATGATACAGGAGTGGTCTGCTGCGCCACGTGGGTTTCTACCCGGCTCGCCAAAATTTAACCCGCACTGCCGTGGCTGCAGACAGCTTCAGAGTGCTGTGCTCAAGTGCCTGTGCTACCAAACCCTGGTAATTTCTGATGGCGTTAGAGAAATGTCCTCCTGGGTATCTCCCTGGCCCCAACAATGCAGCCCATGGAGAATCATAGGCTTCAACATTGATGACCATCTTACCTTGGTGCAGAACTTTTGGCAATTTTGAGAATCCTCTTTCAACTTCAGTGTTTTGTCCATGGTCAACCTTTTCATGTTTTCTTCTCTTCCATTCCCCTACACGGGCCAGAAACCAAAGAGCAGCCACCCTCTCCTTTTAACTTCTTGGCTGCACCTGCATTTTTTCAGTAGGGACTCCATCTGTCCTGCGAAACTCACTTTTATTGATCTCCTCTGCCCAGAACATTGGGTCCTCTGGATGTATCTTGGACTACCCATTCTATGTCTCCTGATTAGTCTACCTGCCCCTTTCTGTCCAAAACAGATGAATGCCTAATTCCTCAAATTGGGGCAGCTGAGACCAAAATTTTCCCAGGTATCTAAGGCAGCTCTGGCAGGAAACACAAGAAAGGATTTGAGCAGGTCCCAGAGAACTGGAACTGAGGGAGACCCCAAATTAAAAATGTACCACATAATCCACCATGAGTCAAGATGATGGCTGCCATTATCTGCAAAAACACTAAACACGCCTGGACCAAAGACCAAGAGTGGCCTCACCGCATGTCTCTTGTTCTCTTCCCACCCCCAATATACACATATAGCTTCAATGCTCTTTCCTCCTTCCTAGCTGCCCCTATTCTGGGAGTCTGGTTCATGGCATGCTGGGGGTTGTAGTCCAAGGCCTCTGATGTTGGTGACATGGAAGTAGGGGCAGGGAAATGGCACCTGTTCCCATGGTGATGCTCCCACAGGATGCACCACATCCCATGGTGATGTGTTGAGCAACCTTGAGATACATTCTGTAACAGTATCAGGCCACCTCATCACATTCACTTGCACTGAAAGTTAGTTTTGTGGAACTGGTAGTCTTGTTACCCACTGTTTTACCTAACACTTTGTAGAAAGGCCCTTTAAATGCAGGGAGCTGTCTCTCCTTACCTTCTCCTCCTTCAAGTTTAATCTTTCCTCTAGGTCTTTGCTCATATAGATCAAGTTCTTCTGAGCCTCTTTGTCATTTCATTTCCTGTAATTCTAAGAAAGGCCAATTCTTATAAGTCTGCCAGCAACAAACATGAATCCTATCCCACCCAGCCCCAACTTGCACCATTTCTGATTTTTTTATTTTTTTAAGATTTATTTATTTATACAAGAACTGGGGTACAGGCCAGATGTGCAGGAGGGTGAGAGGATTCACCATAGACAGAGTGGGGAACAGAACAGGCAGACTGATGAGATACACTGCTGAGGGGAGCAGAGGGCGAGACAGGAGAGGTCTGCTGTGCCATGAGGGATTCTCCCCTGCTGGCTGGGGTCAAACCCATGCTGCAGAGGCTGCAGACAGCTCCACAGTACAGCGCTAAACTGCCTACACCACCTCGGATGCCCCATTTCTGAAGTTTTAAAACACTCAATTCTATAGGCCACAAACTCATCCACTCCTTCAATTTGACTCTATTTGACACAACTGCATTCAATCATCTATTGTGTGTGCTGGTTGTGTGGGTGCTGAGGACAAACAAATAAAGTAAACCCCTGCCCTGACGCATGTTTGCAATCTAGACTGGTTGAGACAAAGAGAGAATCTTCATAATGATAAGCATCAATATGCAGCACATAAAGAATGAAGAAAATCGGATGTGTGAGAGAGTGATGAGAAGGGGATCCAAGAAGAGTCAGCACTGGATCTGGGATTTGTAAAATGTTTGTCTTCCTGCCTCATCGACTATTGGACATTCAAATAAGATAATGTCCTTACCAAATTAAATTTAATGGAAACCATAGAATACTCTTTGTGGAATAAATAAGGAACAGTGACACTAATGAGGATTCATGAGGTTATTAAAACTTTATATACTTCCCATAGTTCTAACTTCAATCAACTATGACTGTATGATATTACCATAATTCTGAAATAAAGCTTGATTGGATGTGTTTGGACAATTGAATGTGTACAGGTCTGAGAGGAGGGAAAGTTTTTCCAAGCATAAACTTTGGCAGGGAAGAAGACAAGGAAGCAGGAGATGTGTTTGGAACTGACAGACCACTTCCAAGCTTGGATCAGAGGTTAAATGTGCTAGTGGTGGAAAATGAAACTGTAAAAATAGTTTAGAGCTTGTAAGGAAGTGCTTTGTAAGAAGGTTGCCGTGTGTGCTATCAGGCACTCGTGTCCATTAGACACTCATGATATCAGAGCTATCATGTACAGGCTGGGTTGTGATGGGTCCAGGAAGTGGTCAAGATGGATGGGAAGAAGGAAGATCAATTAGGGAGCTGGTGAGAGAGACCAAAGACTGAGATAAGTGGAGGTGAGGGCATGAGCCAAGTGTGGGTGGATTTCAGAGGGGCAGTCTTGGTTATGAACACGGATTGGAGTGGAGGAACAAATCAGAGAGAAGGAAGAAACTGGTACTGATGCAATACCTGCTTTGGGTCAACATGGGTCTCAAGGTGTTGAGTCTGAGAAAATGAAACAATAGTGGGTCTCCCTTGAAGGGAGTTGGGAGAGAATGACTAGATTTGAGAGAGATGTTGCGGAATTACCTGGATAATAATAGATGTAGGAATTATTGAGACTGTTGAGGAGGAAGCTGTTAGAGTTGGAAGAACTTTGCGATCCACTGGAGGAGATGACAGAATGAGGCGCCAGCTTGGTTTATCCCAGTTTCCAAGGATAGAGAAGACATTTATTCATTAGTAGATTGAGAAGGAAGGAGAGAAGCAACTGAAATGACACAGAGGTCAAAAGAAGTCAGAGTTCATTGAGGGGATTTTCAACAGAACCCCAGTCAAGGGAGATTTCAATTCAACAAATCCACTGGATAGTGTGATGTGGAGCTCCCAGGCCCACCCTGGAACTGGGTCTGTAGGACACAGTGGAAGAAGCTCTGTTTCAGTGGCTCTTTCACAACTGTCTCAAATCTCCAATTCAACAGTGAACTTAATGCAAAAGTTAACAGAACATGTTCCTACTAAAGAAGATTGCTACATCTTATTGTCTGTGCATTGCTAAAGGTACTTTAGCTGCAGTCATCTCTTCGACCTGCAGACCAGTCACATGAATAGGTTTTCATTCCTTTCTGAGTGGTGTCTGAATCCAGCTTTCTCAGAAGACTAGGATCATGAAGTGATATTGTCCAGGATTGTTTCAAGTTTTTCTTGACTTCTCTATTCTAGACAGTGTGGAGTAAAAACAAGCTCATGAAACTTGCATTTTTCTGACTCAGGAACCCATCCCCATTAGTGGACAAGGGTTGAGTATAAGAGAATCAATGGTGACTCTGGAGTGGGTTTGTTGAATGAATCCTGAATCCCACTTTGAGGTGTCTGTACCTACTCAGTCCATCTGACTACTGCCTGGTTCATTATCATGGTCTTCTTCTGCTTGTACCACACTGGAAATCCTGCTTGAGTATTTACTCAGAGCTATATCTGTTGGTTCAGTTCCTGGATTACAATCCCAAACTCTACCCTCAGTGTAGTGAGGCCGACTGCTTGATGAACTGGCAGCCTGTGTCCTGTTCTTATAAGCCGCCTAAGGGGCTGGCCCAGCATGATGGTGTTGGTGTTAAACGGTGTGTCTGATTTTCAGCTTTGGCATATGTCAGTCTTCTTGGTCTGTGTGAAGTGATGAGACTCTTGGCCTTTCCTTGCTGACTGTATATATTAAAATAGAATTAATATATGGGTGGTCCAATATGTTTCTATGTATTTTCCAAAGAACACATTCTACATTTGTCATGGTGAGAATTTCAAGTACCTGGCCATCAGAGAAGATGGTTTGGGCAAGGGAGAGGGAGGCCTCCCAAGGCCTTAAAATCCTCACAGCAGACCTGCTGACTCTTCTCAATGGTTATGTGCTACTGGTGAGTTTGCATGTTTTCTCTGCCATGGAAAAAAACCTTGGTTTTCAGTAATAACTAACATCCTGGGACCTCAATGGTAATTTGTTCACATCTTAAGGCAAGAAGCCTTATTACTGCGTCTGCCACAATTACACAGGCAGGTGTCAGCCTTTCTGCTTATTAGGATTTGATTTGCTCATCATCTTTATTGAAGGCTCATTGACTAGACAATATTCTTGCTTATGTAGAGGGAAGAATTCATAGTACATAAGAAACAGATACTGAAA